GCAGCCAAGACTCAAACTGGTACCCATATGGGATGCGGGCGCTTCCGCCAGGGTGTTAACTTGATGTGTCACAGCACCTGCCCTCTTCCCTCCTTTCTTCCTTTCCTTTCCTTTCCTTTCCTTTCCTTTCCTTTCCTTTCCTTTCCTTTCCTTTCCTTTCCTTTCCTTTCCTTTCCTTTCCTTTCCTTTCCTTTCCTTTCCTTTCCTTTCCTTTCCTTTCCTTTCCTTTCCTTTCCTTTTCTTTCCGTTTCGTTTCTTTTCTTTTCTTTTCTTTCTTTCTTTCTTTCTTTCTTTTTTCTTTTCTTTCTTCTTCTTCTTCTTTTTTTTTTTTTTGTTAAAGATTTATTTATTTGAAAGCAAGAGTTACAAAGAAAAGAGACAGAGATCTTCCATCACTCCCCAAATGGCTGCAACAGCCAGGGCTTGGCCAGGCTGAAGCCAGGAGTGTCTGGGGGATCTCCCATGTGGGTGCAGGACCCCAAGTACTTGGACCATGTTCCACTGCTTTGTCAGGTGCATTAGCAGGGAGCTGGATGAGAAGTGAAGCAGCTGGGACTCAAACTGGCACCCATATGGGGTGCTGGCACTGCAGGTGTTAGCTTTACCCACTATACCACAATGCTGGCCCCTGGAACATTTCTTTAAAAACTACATTGTCAGTTAATGATATTCCAAACGATTTTTAGTAGCCATGAAACCAGTAATTCTATAAACCAAAAAAATTTTATAAATGAACTTACTGCTATACTAAAAGTCTTATTAAAAATTTATCTGGAAGGATTTGTGATAGTTACTTTGACTTGAGGTCAGGGTACAGAGATTTGGAATGCATGCCATGTGCAATGAATATTTAGTTGTATTGGACATATAAATGCCACTGTGTTAATATGCAAAACATACCCTGTGATACTTAGTGAGTGACTTAAATATTCTGCTAAAAGGTTAAGATTTCATTTTTAGGTTAAGAGTGTGGCATACACGGTGCAGGTACATACTGTGTAAGACTGTGGGTGCTGAAAAGCACATATACTTCTCTTGGCCAAGGATGTTACAAGAACATTTCTTTAAATAGATCAAGCTGTCTGGTACATAAGGAGACATCACCATTATTCACATAAAACCTTATCAAACTTTGATTTTATTCTTGAAAATGGTAGGCTGTAAAGGTTTAATTAAGTGAAATACAGATTAAATTGCAAGTGGTATTTTGAAAAGTATTCATAATATAACCTTATGAAAGTTAGAAAATTTAATATTTCTGTGATCTCATTGTTAGACCCCATTCTGGCTTTGTCTCTTGTCTCAATGATGTCCTTTATAACAAAAGATCAGTTCTGAATCACGTATCATATTTAGTTGGCATGTTTCTTTACTTTCCTTCAATCTAAAATAGTTTTTCAGTCTTTCTTGACTTTAAATGTTACAGGCCAATTATTTAGTAGAATGAACTGTAATTTAGGTTGTCATTAGATTCAGATTTTGTTTCTTAGGCATTAGTATCATAAAACTGAGTGTGTGGTGTTCTCTGCATTCTACTATGATTTCAGTTTGTTCTTTGGTGATGTTCCTTGAACACATGATTAAGGTGGTAACTGTCAGATTAGTTAGTATTAGTTTCATTTTGTTGTTACAACAAATACTACAAATTTAGTGACTTAAAACAACAGATTTGGGGCCAGTGCTATGGCATAGCAGGTAAAGCTGCCACTTGCAGTGCTGGCATCCCATATGGGTGCCAGTTTGAGTCCCGGCTGCTTCACTTCTGATCCAGCTCTCTGCTATGGCCTGAGAAAGCAGTAGAAGATGTCCCAAGTCCTTGGGCCCCTGCACTCATGTGAGAAACCTGAAGAAGCTCCTGGCCGTTGTGGCCATCATGGAAGTGAACCAGAGGATGGAATCTCTCTCTCTCTCTCTCTCACTGCCTCTGCTTCTCTGTAGTTCTGCCTTCCAAATAAATAAATAAATAAATCTTAAAAAAAAAAAATTCAGGGGCCAGCACTGTAGCATAGAGGCTAAAGCTGCCGCCTGCAGTGCCGGTATCCCATATGGGTGCCATTTCGAGTTCTGGCTGTTCCACTTCCGATCCAGCTTTCTGTTATGGCCTGGGAAAGCAGTAGAAGAAGGCCCAAGTCCTTAGTCTCCTGCACCTGTGTGTGAGTCTCAGAAGAAGCTTCTGGCTTCCGATCAGTTCAGCTCCAGCCATTGCAGCCATTTGGGGAGTTCCAGTGGATGGAAGATATCTCTCTCTCGCTCTCCCTTTCTCCCTCTATCCCTCTGTCTCTGCCTCTCTTTAACTCTGCCTTTCAAATAAATAAATTTTTCAGTTTTGGAAACCAGAAGTTCAAAATCAGTTTTACAGGGTGGAAGCCACAGTGTTGGTGGGGATAGTTCCTTCTGGAGGCTTTTCAGTAGAATCTGCTTCCTTTTTTCTGCTTCCAAAGATTGCCTGTATTCCTTGGCTTGTGGTATGTCTCTCATCTTCAAACAGAGCATCTCCTCAATATCTGTTTCATTATATCCTTTGTCTTTGACCCTTGACCTTTCTGCCTAAGCACCGCTATGATTATATTAGTCGCATTAGGATAATTTCCTTATTTCAGGAACCTTCATTTAGTCACATTTAGTCCCCTTGCCATTTAAAATAATAGGTTCTAGGTGTTAGACTGTGGGCCTCTTGGGTGGACCATTATTCAACCTGTCATGCTTGCTTACTATAAACTCATTCTTTTCTTCTTTGCAGTTAAGATTTTAGGGGAATAGATTGGGATTCCTGGTTCCTGTTATTGGCAGATACCATTTAGAAACCAAGATCTGGAATATATATGTGTGTATATAGAGCTGCATCTGTATTTCTATACTAAAAGACACCGATTAGAGGTGGTAATTTGGCTCCTATTTAATCTAGACATCCATAATAAACATAAGTGTGTCATTGTCTTTTCAACTAGCTCTTTTGTCAGGGAGATCTTGATGATAGCATCATTATCAAGCTTGTTTCTGGAGAGGGCGCTCTTCTGAGGATATTTGAGCTGCAATGTCTTAGGCCATTGGAGGGTGGGTGACATGTGGAACTGACTTATTCTGTGATTGGGACTTCAGAGCTCTCGGATTTGGATTTGGCTTGCAGTGAGCAAGGACATCTTTCCTTTTTACACTATCTTGTGAGAAGTAGATTTTTATTTTTTTGACAAATTTTTTAAACTTGGGAGAATAATTCAAACCAAGTGATTGTGATAACTTTAGCAAAAACAATACATGGTATTTAGGTTTGATTCAATGTCTAATTGATTCACAGATTTTTTTTCTTGTTGACTAAAATAATAGTTTTTGTCACAACTGTATATAAATTTGCCTTAACTTTATGGTTCTGGATAACAGTTTAACATAGAATAATGAGAATTTATGATTTTTTAAAAAAATTTTATTTCATTTAGAGAATGACAGAGACAGAGAGATCTTCAGTCTGTTGATTCACTTCCCAAATGCCCGTAACAGCTAGGGCTGGGCAGGTTAAAGCCAGGATTCTGGAACTCCATCTGAGTCTCTCCTGATGGTTGAGTGGGGGCCTAAGTATTTGAGCTGTTTCAGGCTACCTCCTGTGGTATGTGTTAGCAGGAAGCTGAAGCAGAAGCAGAAGAGAAGCTGTCACTTGAAACCAGGCAGTCCGATAAAGGAATGTGGGTAGTTACTTTTTTTTTTTTTTGACAGGCAGAGTTAGACAGTGAGAGAGAGAGAGACAGAGAGAAAGGTCTTCCTTTTTCCATTGGTTCACCCACCAAGTGGCTGCTATGGCTGGTGCGTTGTGGTGCCCGCTGCGCCGATCCGAAGCCAGGAGCCAGGTGCTTCCTGCTGGTCTCCCATGTGGGTGAAGGGACCCAAGCACTTGGGCCATCCTCCACTGCACTCCCGGGCCACAGCAGAGAGCTGGACTGGAAGAGGAGCAACCAGAACAGAATCCGGCGCCCCAACCAGGACTAGAACCCTGAGTACTGGTGCCGCAGGTGAAGGATTAGCCTAGTGAGCCGCGGTGCCAGCCCGAGTGGTTACTTAACCACTGCACCACAGTGCTCATCTTAGAATTTGTGATTTTGAATTTTACTCTTTGCTATTGTTTTTACTGAAAGTTGATTTTTATGTTAAATCTCCAAATTATGGCTGGCGCCGCGGCTCACTAGGCTAATCCTCCACCTTGAGGCGCCAGCACACCAGGTTCCAGTCCCAGTCAGGGCGCCAGATTCTGTCCCGGTTGCCCCTCTTCCAGGCCAGCTCTCTGCTGTGGCCAGGGAGTGCAGTGGAGGCTGGCCCAAGTACTTGGGCCCTGCACCCCATGGGAGACCAGGAGAAGTACCTGGCTCCTGGCTTCGGATCAGCCCGGTGCGCCGGCCGCAGCGCGCCGGCCATGGCGGCCATTGGAGGGTGAACCAACAGCAAAAGGAAGACCTTTCTCTCTGTCTCTCTCACTATCTACTCTGCCTGTCCAAAAAAAAAAAAAAAAAACCAAAAAACAAAACAAAAAAAACCTCCAAATTATGTTGGTTGTATACGTTAAGAAGATTAAATTAGATTTTTGATTTGAGGATCTTTTGTTAGGCAATTATTTTCATGTTTGAAGAATGTAATTTCTAATTAGCTTCTTTGATAAACCAATTTTGACTACTTTATACTTTTCCTTCTGTAAGAGAAAAGACTGGAGTAGTGAACTTCTCAAAAATTATTTTGTGACTATAAACATTTTGGTTTCAGGACAGTTTCTATGTTTTCAATAAGAAGTTAATTAATTCTCACATGAAAAATGGTTGTCTGGTAGTTGAATAAAGTATTTCAAAATGACTGTTCTAAATGGCAGAATCTTGTGAATTTTTAAAAGGTTATTTGAATAAGCAGTAGTTTCATGTTCCAGTAAAATATTAGTATGGTAATAAAGGTTAGGATGGTATTAACTCTGGTTTTACCTTCATGTGGAAAATGTTTTAACCCATCTTATTTTTCTTTCTTGACAGAGCAAATTCGATTAAAGAATATCAGAAAAGTGTATGGAAGATGTATGTGGTATCGTTTACGGTTATTAAAACCTCAGCCGAATATTATCCCTACAGTAAAGTAAGTAATGGTTTCAATTTAAAAAAATACATAGTGCTTATATACTCTTTGCTGGGAATCACACTAAACAGTGGTGTATAATGTAATCAGACACTGTGTAAAGAAGCTGTAGCCTGTGGTCTCGGTAAGGTATAATTAGTAAGTATCGCAGCTGTCTGGACAGAATGGTTTAGAAATCCAAAGGACAAGGGAGAGTGTGCTTCTGACTAGGGAGAGGAGGACAGAGAGAGAAATGACTCGAATTTTACCTTAAAGACTACAGCATCTTTAAAAGATTTCAAAAGCTGGGAGATGTCATGGTCAGTTTGCATTTCCTGGTGACAAAGATTGTTGGGCACATACCATATGCCAGGTGCTTTGTACTGGAATGCTTCAAAAAAGTCATGGAAAAACAGAATTCAGTGGTAAGTTTGTTTTGGTTCCAAAAATTTTGAAATCTGTGCATTGACAGGGTCTTCAAAAAGGTCATAGACAATGCATACTATAAAAAACCTTCTATGACTGGATTTCAAAATTTTTGGGACAAAAATTTATCTTTTAATTCCATTTTCCATGATTTTTTTGAAGTTTCCTCATATGTTATATTATTTGATTACATGTGAAATTCAAGGTAAATGTTCTTACATTTTCCTCAAACTGAGGATAGGGAGGAAGAAGAGGTAATGTGACCAAGCTCACACAGCTGAAGATAGTGGAGCAAGGGCCCTGGTCATCTTTACTTTGGCAAATCTGTCTGCTTACACAGCCTACTGGCATCTTCTGTTCGATCAGGTTGTGGGATGTGTTGGTTTGGAGCTTAGGCTTTGGACCTTTCCTTGAAGTCTTCAATAGCGGTAGTAGGGATATTAAATGAATAAGAGGTAAAAGAGTTTCTGTTATTGGAGAGCTTTTCTTTTCTTTATATATATTTTTTAATAGATTTATTTATTTACTTGAGAGTCAGAGTTACACAGAGAGAGAAGGGGAGGCAGAAGAGAGAGGTTTTCCATCTGCTGGTTCACTCCCCAGTTGGCTGCAATGGATGGAGCTGTGCTGATCCGAAGCCAGGAGCCAGGAGCTTCTTCCATGGCTCCTATGCGGGTGCAGGGACCCAAGGACTTGGGCCATCTTCTACAGTTTTCCCAGGCCACAGAAGAGAGTTGGATCAGAAGTAGAGCAGCTGGGACTCGAACTGGCGCCCATATGGAATGCCAGCACTGCAGGTGGCAGCTTTACCTGCTATGCCACAGTGCCGGCCCCTATATTTTATTTTTTAAAAGATTTAATTATTTAAAAGGCAGAGTGACAAAGAATGAGGAAGATAGATTTTCTGTCCACTGTTCATTCCCCATATGGTCATTACAGCCCAGTGTGGGCCAGTCTGAAACCATGAGCCTGGAATTCCATCCTTGTCTCTTACGTGGGTAGCAGAGTCCAAAGTAAACTGTTCCGTTATCCACTGCTTTCCCAGGTGCATTAGTAGGAAGTTGGATTGGAAGCAGAACAGCCAGGACTTGAACCAGCACTCTGATACTGGATGCTGGCATCTCAAGTGGTGATTTAACCTGTTGCACCACAATGTCAGCTCCACGGAGGGCTTTATTGCCTACATCTGTCCATCCAGTAAGTGGGAAGACCTAACAGAAGAAATTGGTAAAACTGGGACTGGCACTGTGGTATACCTGGTAAAGCTGTCACCTGCAGCTTTGGCATCCCATGTGGGCACTAATTGAGTCCCAGCTGCTGCGCTTCCAATCCAGCGATCTGCTATGGCCTGTGAAAGCAGTAGAAGATGGCCCAAGTCCTTGTGCCCTGGCACTCATGTGGGAGACCCAGAAGAAGCTCCTGGCTTCGGATCAGCACAACTCCGTCTGTTGTTGCCAATTGGGGAGTGAACCAGTGGATGGAAGACCCCTCTCTCTCTCTCTTTCTGCCTCTTCTTATCTCTCTGTGTAACTCTGACTTTTAAATAAGTAAATAAATAAATCTTTTTTTTTTTTAAGAGCAGGTAGAACTGATTTTTTATTTTTATTTTTATTTTTTTTATTTTTTGACAGGCAGAATGGACAGTGAGAGAGAGAGACAGAGAGAAAGGTCTTCCTTTGCCGTTGGTTCACCCTCCAATGGCCGCCGCGGCCGGCGCGCTGTGGCCAGCGCACCGCGCTGATCCGATGGCAGGAGCCAGGTACTTCTCCTGGTCTCCCATGGGGTGCAGAGCCCAAGTACTTGGGCCATCCTCCACTGCACTCCCTGGCCACAGCAGAGAGCTGGCCTGGAAGAGGGGCAACCCAGACTAGAACCCGGTATGCCGGCGCCGCAAGGTGGAGGATTAGCCTAGTGAGCCGCGGCGCCGGCCCAGAACTGATTATTTTTAAATCTTGGTTTAAATAATGATGATAGTTTTAATTATAGCTGTGTTACTTTAGTGTCTTAAATATGTTTTCTGTGTTTTTTTGTTTGTTTGTTTGTAAGGTTTAACTTTAGCTAGTTCCTTTGTAAGAAGAGGGAAATGTTTAGCTTTGGTGTTGATTCTTCATTGATATGAAACTTTTGGCTGTTCATAAATGTTGGTTCTTGTTTTAAATTAAACTTTCATGGAGCAGCCAGGCAAATTCTTTTGGCCTCCAAATCCTTGTTCCGATTTTATTCAGCATTTTGTGGGTATCTGAACCTCAACTTTGAAGGGAAAAAAAACTCAAGCTCTTTTCAGTGATTAATTGATTGATTTATTTAAATCAAAGTGCGAATTAAGGGATACTTAAGAAAAGGAGAATTGAGTAGATACTGGTAACAATTTAGATAAGGCTAGAAATCATTAAAACATTTTTGCTACTCATTCCTGAAGCATTATTTCAAAATTAAGCACGTCATTGTGTAATGTTTCTCTTCTGATAGCATCTCTGAAACTAAAGTATTTAATTCTGGAAGTTGCCTCCAAAGTACTTATAGAACATTATGCTTAAATCATGCTTATAGAAACAAGATGTAAGACTTCATATGTTAGTTCCTAAAACTACGTTCAGGAGAATTTTTTTTTAGGAACGAAATATGCTTTATTGGACACAGCATGATGTAATTTATGTCTTTTCACCTTTGCTTTGGCTTTCAGGAGACTTGAGCATGGTTTAGTAGCTATGGTAGTTTTCATCAACTGTCGGGTGGGGGAGTTCTCTCATGATCTTTCCCTGTCCTCATTTCTTGGCTCAAAGAGCCAGATGCCTGTAGCATATAACGTAGAGTCTAGAATATCCTGCATGGTTTGTACTCTTTCCATTTGATCTAAAATATTGCTTTTGTGGTTTTTAGTTACTTTTTTGAGTTCTGTGAACTTTGTTAGCCTTTGGGGGAAATTGACAACAAATTGTGGAGTTACTAATTTGTGTGGGAATGGAGTGTATTTTTAAGTCATCTTCATCATGTTGGGGGTTATAGTAAACTTTGAGTTACAAATTTATTATTTTAAATTAAAGTTTATTTTGGTACAAAAAATTTTTGAGATCTGTGCATAGTTTTTACTTGTCTTTTCTTTTTTAAAGATTTATTAATTTATTTGAAAGGCAGAGATACAGAAAAAGGAGGAGAGAGAGAGAAAAAAAATCCTCCATCCACTGGTTCACTCCTCAAATGGCTGTAATGACAAGCGCTGGGCCAGGCAGAAGCCAGCAGCCAGGAGCCTCCTTCGGGTCTGCCACATGGGTGCAGGGGCCCAAGTACCTGCTCTCAGCCACCTTCCCAGGCACACGAGCAGAGAGCTGGATCGAAAGTACAATCTCCGATCTCCTGGTTCACTCCTGAAGTGGCCATAACTCTATCCAGGTCTCCCACTTGGGTGGCAGGGGCCCAAGCATTTGGGCCATCTTCCACTGCTTTCCCAGGCACATTTGCAGGGAGCTGGTTCAGAAGTGTATCAGCCAGGTTTTGAACTGGTGATTACATGGAATGCCAGCATTGCAGATGGTGGCTTAACCTACTGTGTGCTACAACACCAGCCCTTGTGGATAGTTTTTATTTTTTTAAAACTATTTTATTTATTTATTTATTTAAAAGTCAGAGTTAGAGGAGAGAGAGAAAGAGAGATGTCTTCTATCTGATGGTTCACTCTCTAATTGGCCGCAACAGCTTTAGCTGTGCCAATCGAAGCCAGGAGCCAGGAGCTTCTTCTGCTTCTCCCACGTGGGTGCAGGGGCCCAAGGACTTGAGCCGTCTTCCACTGCTTTCCCAGGCCACAGCAGAGAGCTAGATGGGAAGTAGAGCAGCTGGGCCTAGAACTGGCACCTATATGGGATGCCACTGCTTCAGGCCAGGGCATTAACCTGCTGCGCCACAGCACCAGCCCCTGGATACTTTTTCATAATGCATGTTCTGTGTGAATTTTTTGGAGAGTCATTATATGTATGGATTTCTAATTTTTTGCATCAAATCAAATGAAATTCTGTTTTTTGTGAGCTTTTTTATTTATTTAGGATTTATTTAAAAGACAGAAAATTATATCTGTATTGGCTGCAAAATGTCTCTGTTATGGCTTATTTAATTAGTCTCCAATAAATAGTTTAGTTCTCTATAAATGAATGTTTAGGTTGTTTTCCGAAGTTTTGTAACCAAGACTGTTTATTCATGTTTATACAATTGATAAATTTTTAAAATAATTTTTACTAATATAAAGAGAACAGATTTCATAGTTTTTTTTTTTTTTTTTAAGATTTATGTGTTTATTTGAAGGAGTTACAGAGAGAGAGAGAGAGAGAACGAGATAGAGATCTTCCCTCCACTGGTTCACTCTCCAGATGGCTGGATTGGGCCGGGACTGGGCCAGACTGAAGCCAGGAGCTTCTTCTTTGTCTTCCATGTAGGTGGCATGGGCCCAAATACTTAGGCCATTCACCGCTATTTTTCCCAGGCCATTATCTGGGAGCTGAATCAGAAGTGGCGCAGCTGGGACACAAACCAGTGCCCATATGGGATGCCAGCATTGCCCCGCAGATAATTCTAAAAAGATAACCATACTTCCATTCCTCCCTCTTTCCCTCATAGAAATTATTTTTCTACTTTTGTCTAAGAGTATAATTACTAGGATAAGAGCAATTCTTTTTTTTTACATTAAATATATAATACTTAGTATTTATGTGTTTTGTTATAATGAATCCAGTAAATCATTAAATTGAATTAACCTCTGTACTTAAAATTCTACAAGTAGTAACTGAGAAAATCTATTACAAACAAAGCAGTATACTATATTCTAGGGAATCAGGTGAGAAAGACACTGTCTTTGCTGTAACAGGAGTTTACAACTGAGTGATTACAGAATTTTAGTTAGTAGCATGGTGATATGGAATTGCTTTAGATTGTCTTATGCCTTAAAATGCCTTAATGCCTGTGACTCTTAAAGGAAAGCCGTTCGGATGAGCTTATTTACATTTCACTTCTCTTTCTCCTAAACAGGAAAATAGTTCTGCTTGCAGGATGGGCATTGTTCTTATTCCTTACATACAAAGTTTCCAAAACAGACCGAGAATATCAAGAATACAATCCTTATGAAGTATTAAATTTGGATCCTGTAAGTATTTCTCAATAATGCTTGTTAAAAATCTATAGTCCATATCCTACAAGAAATTGAGTAATGTCTAATTTGGTTTGCTAAATTTGTTTTTTTAAAATGATACATCTAATTTATTACCACTTTAATGTGCATATATTTATATATTTAAGCTATTGCTATTGATTGCTACATTCAGGACTGGTTTGCAGTTGGTAAAATCTAAGAATATTTGAAGGTGAGATGAGAAGGTAATGAGCATATTTTTAAAAGTCACCTGTAAGATTGGCTTTAATGTAAAATAAAATCAAAGTAGGAGGTCTATTTATATTAGTTAAATGGTAAAAATTTATGACCTTGTTAATTGACACTTAGGCAGTTATGTCTGTGTTACAGTGTCCTATAAGAAACTGTTTGGGCTGGCACTGTGGCGTAGCAGGTAAAGTCACTGCCTGCAGTGTCAGCATCCCATATGGGCACCGGTTCGAGTCCCAGCTGTTCCACTTCTGATCCAGATCTGCTATGGCCTGGGAAAGCAGTAGAAGATGGCCCAGGTCCTTGGGCCCCTGTACCCATGTGGGAGACCTGGAAGAAGCTCCTGCCTCCTGGCTTCAGATTGGTGCAGCTCTGGCTGTTTTGGCCATCTGGGTAGTGAACCAGTGGATGCAAGACCTCTCTCTCTCTGCCTCTGCCTCTCTGTAACTCTGCCTTTCAAATAAATAATTTTTTTTTTTTGTTTAAAGATTTATGTATTTACTTGAAAGTCAGAGTTACACAGAGAGAAAGAGAAAGAGAAAGAGAGAGAGAGAGAGAGAGAGAGAGAGAGAGAGAGGTCTTCATCCAATGGTTCACTCCCCAATTGGCTGCAATAGCTGGAGCTGTGCCGATCCAAAGCTAGGAGCCAGGAGCTTTTTCCGGGTCTCCCACATGGGTACGGGGGCCCAAGGACTTAGGCCATCTTCCACTGCTTTCCCAGGCCATAGCAGAGAGCTGGATCGGAAGAGGAGCAGCCGGGTCTCGATCTGGCGCCCATATGGGATGCCAGCACTTCAGGCCAGGGCGTTAACCCCGCTGCACTACAGCATTGGCCCCAATAAATCTTTCTTTTTTTAAAGAAAAAGAAAGTATTACCATTCTCACAGAAGATCAGATTAACCTTGAATGGCCCCTTAAGTGATCTCTTGATTGACCTTGATTGATGAGTCCTAATAGAAAATAAAATTTTGGGTCTGTCAGGAGTCTGTTAGAACTAAAATTAATGGCAGATCATCTAACCTTGTTTTATTTTATTTTATTTTATTTTATTTTATTTTATTTTATTTATTTTTTGACAGGCAGAGTGGACAGTGAGAGAGAGAGACAGAGAGAAAGGTCTTCCTTTTGCCATTGGTTCACCCTCCAGTGGCCGCCGTGGCTGGCGCACCACGCTGCCGATGGCAGGAGCCAGGTACTTATCCTGGTCTCCCCTGGGGTGCAGGGCCCAAGCGCTTGAGCCATCCTCCACTGCACTCCCTGGCCACAGCAGAGAGCTGGCCTGGAAGAGGGGCAACCGGGACAGAATCCGGCGCCCCGACTGGGACTAGAATCCGGTGTGCAGGCGCCGCAAGGCGGAGGGTTAGCCTAGTGAGCCGCGGCGCTGGCCTAGCCTTGTTTTTTTAAAAAAATGCTTTGATAACATTTTAAAAAATATTTGTTTATATATTTGAAAGACAGAGTGAGAGAGAGATCCTCCATCTGCTAGTTCACTCACCAAATAGCTGCAACATTTTGGGCTGGGCTGTTCTGGAACTAGGAGCCAAGAACTCCATCTGGTCTGCCACATAGTAGCAGGGACTGAGGTACTTGTGCCATCATCTGCCACTTCCTCGGGCACAGTAGCAGAGATTGGAAGCGGAGCTGCCAGAACTTGAACCTGACTTGCATGGAGTACAGGCGTCCCGAGTGGCAGCCCAGCTATCTGTAACACAACGTCAGCCCATCTAGCCTTTTTTGATAGTAAAAAATGAAGCTTGAAAAATTTGTATCTTGCGTAGAGTCCCATAGCTTCTTAGTAGCCAAGCTAAATCTACTACTGTTTTCAACTTTTCCCCTAAACCACGTTTTTTTACTTAGTCTCTTGTTCAGTAGAATCCTTGAAGGAGTATATTTATCTAGTTTTCTTCCATGCAGAAAAAAGGTTTGCATGTCATCTGATTTATCTTGTGTGATGCCCATGGTCATCAAGAGAGACTTCCCAGGATTGGAAGGTTTGGGGGCAACAAACTAATTACTAGTAGAAACTGATGTTAATTAAGACACAGGCCAGGTTATTAAATATGTACTTTATATTGATAATATATTGACAGGCAGATAAAGCCGCCAGGTGTTTCTCAGATTATAAAGGAAGTTAACCTTTGATCTAAAGTGTCTTTGAGCCAGTCTTATATGCTGTGATCATGTTTTGACATTTAGATATCAGTATTTCTTTATTTTCTTTATATGTGTCATTATATTGTTTCAATCTCAAATCATCAGTGCCTAATATACTGCACTTCACTCAGTAAATGCTCAATAAAATAAAAGCTGGACAAAGTAAGTGTAATTCTTATTTTAAAATGTATGAGAAAATACGTGGGATAAATCTTAATTGTTTCTCAGATTATTAATTGAGTAGTTTGTGTTTTCAGTTTAAAATAGGATAGCTTACTTCTTTACAGTTCTGTGATTACTTTGACGAACACAAAGCTTTTCCTTTTAGGGAGCAACAGTAGCAGAAATTAAGAAACAGTACCGTTTATTATCACTTAAATATCATCCAGATAAAGGAGGTGACGAGGTTATGTTCATGAGGATAGCAAAAGCTTATGCCGCGTAAGTACCATATGACATGTTATACATTTTTAAGAGAGATAAATATAGCTTTTTCTGTTTTAATAAAATAGTAAGTAAAATAGGTGTCACATACATTTATTAAACGCTGACCTTGTGTGCTTAGTCCTTTTTAAATGGGACTCTTCAGTAGTCCTAATCTAGTAATTCAATTAAACCTTAATTTTAAGTAACAAAGTTGAGAGTCAAGATAGTGCATTTGCCATGTGGACTTGGTTAAATCAGAGAGTAAATGATGAGTTAATAGAATTGTTTCCCAAGTATCCTGATTAGAATTGGATATACTCATTCCTTATTCTCATTTGAAGACTTTTTTGTTCCTATTTATAATTAGATCTGTTTCTCTTGTTTTAGCAATACAGCTTCTCTCATTTAAACTAAACACAAGTTCACTTTTTACTTTTAAGTGCTTCAGTTCTGGAGTCTTTTTCATTTTAGAATTTTGTTATAACAAATTATTCCTGGTTCCTATGTGTTAATTACTGTACTTGTGATCCAGAGTTTTACAGTCTCCTTTTTATTGCCTAGAGAATTTTTCTTTAATCATCTTTCTAGAACTTGCAAATCCTTGGTTGCCTAGAGAGGTGTATTGTTATTGTCAAGATCCATGTAGTGTTCATAAATGCATTATGTGCACACTGTGTGGGGAAGAATAGAGTATATAAGTATATAAAACTAGAAGTAGTTACTTATTGGATGCTAATATTATAATAGATCTAAAAGATTAGCTGGATTCTACAGGACTCAGGATAGAGATATCCTTACTCATCTCTTGCATTGCATTAGGGGTAAAATTTTTGAGGACTTGATATATAATTTTATGAGCTAATTTAAAAAACACAAGTAAGTAGTAGAAGACAAGTAGATTTAATAGTAAACTGTGAAAGTGGCATGTGGCTAACAGAAGTTTTGGAAGTATTATCTTATTTTTGTGATTAGTATAGACTATGTCCCTGTGCACCATGTCTCTCTCTGTGGCTTTGTAGTTGTCATAAATTATCGTTCACTTTTTTTTAGAAGATTTATTATTTGAAAGATAGAGTTATAGAGAGACAAGGAGGGACAGAGAGAGATCTTCCCATTAGCTGATTTACTTCCTAAATGGCTGCAACAGCCAGGGCTGGGCCAAGCTGAAACCAGGAGCCAGGAGCTTCATCCAGGTCTTCCACATGATGACAGGGGACCAAGCCCTTGGGCCATCTTCCGCTGCTTTCTCAGGTACGTTAGCAGGGAGCTAGATTGGAAGTGGTGCATCCGGGACTCAAACTGGCACCCGTATGAGTTGCTGGCATCTACAGAGCCACAACTTTGGCCCCTACCATTCACTTTAAATATTTTTTTTTTTTTTTTTTTTTTTTTTTTTTTTTTTTTTTTTTTTTATTTTTGACAGGCAGAGTGGACAGTGAGAGAGAGAGACAGAGAGAGAAAGGTCTTCCTTTGCCGTTGGTTCACCCTCCAATGGCCGCCGCTGCAGCCGGCGCACCGCGCTGATCCGATGGCAGGAGCCAGGAGCCAGGTGCTTTTCCTGGTCTCCCATGGGGTGCAGGGCCCAAGCACCTGGGCCATCCTCCACTGCACTCCCTGGCCATAGCAGAGAGCTGGCCTGGAAGAGGGGCAACCGGGACAGAATCCGGCGCCCCAACCGGGACTAGAACCCGGTGTGCCGGCGCCGCAAGGTGGAGGATTAGCCTATTGAGCCACGGCGCCGGCTTCCTACCATTCACTTTAATAAAGCAGAGCTACCCAGGAACTTCTGAAGTGTGTACATTTTCCGCATAGCAGATGTCCGTATGCTGTCTTTCAGTTGGTGTCCCTTTCTCCTTTTTTTCTTTTTTAATGTTTTTACAAGATTTATTTATTTATTTATTTGAAAGGGTAACGGGGCTGGAGGGTGGGGGGGTGGAAGGAGATAGATAGAGATATCTTCTATCCATTTGTTGATTCCCCAAATGCAGTAACAGCCAGGGCTGGGCCAGGCTAAAGCCAGGTGTCAGGAACTCCATCTGAGCCTGCTTCCTAGGCTTGCTAGCAGGGAGCTGGATCAGAGTAGCTGGGATTCAAACCAGCATTCCAATATGGGATGCTAGTGTCCCAAGTGGTTGGTTAACCCATTGTGCCATGATGCCAACCCCTTCCCCATTTATCCTTGTATTTTCTTCAAGTCATTTAAGGAAAATTGGATTTCTAGAAAGTGTGAGATAGCCAAGATTATTTAATTAGCAACTCTAATGTTTTTGGTGCAAGTTTTTTGACCCCCTTAGTATTCAGGTATTATAACAGGTTCATTATTTTGTTCTCAGGTTACAGGTACTTAACTGTTTATGATGTATAGTCACTATTCTAAAAGGTGTGGAAGAAGAATACATTTTTAAGGCTTTCATTTTTCACTCAGTTACATGATAATGCTATAGACTATTTTGTTTATAAAATGTGTTAAATACACAATATCAGAACAATAAAGAAGTAAAATTATCTTAGAGATCTTGTAACTTGCATGAGTATAACTAAATTAGAGGAGTCAGACCATCTAATTCTCTGGTTCATTTTTCCGGATACAGTTTAAGTTTGGCTTTCAGGTATAAAACCTGTCTTTAAACTGTTTTATAGCAAGTGGAAAGAATAGGTGCTAGCTTAAAGAATTTTAATTGTTTTCAAAAGATTTTTTTATTTTACTTGAAAGGCAGAGTTACAGACAAAGAGAATGGCCTCAATGGCCAGGCTGTGCCAGGCCAAAACCAGGAGCTAGGAGCTTCATCCAGGTTTCCCACAAGGGTGCAGAGGCCCAACCACTTGGGCCATCATCCTCTGCTGCTTTTCTTAGACCATTAGCAGGGAAGCAGAGCAGTCAGGACACGAACCTGTTCCCATATTGGATACTGGCGCTGCAGGTGGCAGCTTTGCTCCCTATGCCACAACACCAGGCCAAAGAATTTTAATTTTTAAAAAGCATGTGTTTTCATGTGCTTCCATCAGGAGTATGTAACTTAACATCACATAGCTAACTTGGTATTATTCACAGTTCAGTGAAAGCATTCTCTAGATCAGACCTTAAAATCTGGGGTCTCTGAAATTTAGTACAAAACTTATGTATGTTATAATGTGTATATTTTTTCTCCAGGCCAAAAGGAGCATATATTTCATCCTGTTCTATTTATTTGTTTATTTGAGAGACAGGCAGGGGACCAAGAGAGAAGCAACCTTTTCTATCTTCTCCAGTCTGTTGATTGCTTTTGCAAATGCCTAAACCTTCCAGTGTTGGGCGTGGTCCAAAATCAGGAACTTAATCCAGATCTGTCATATGGGTGGTGGGAGTCCAATTACTTGAGCCATCACTACTGCCTCACATGGTCTGCATTAGCAGAAAGCTGGAGGGAGGAGTTGAACCCAGATACTCTGATGCGGGATGCTGGCTTCATTACCAGAGTCTTAACTACTAGGCTACACTTTAGCTGTATCGAATTAGATTCCCAATAGGATTTATGATGCCTTGCCTCCCATTCCTCCATTCTCTACTCTCTGTTTCTCTACATTAAGGGATATAATAATTGTCGCTCCCCCTCTTCGTGGAGGAACGACACTAAGCCCTGCCTAGGCTCCATATCCGAGTCACGGCACCATTATGTCGCTCCCCCTCTTCGTGGAGGAACGACACTGAACCCTGCCTAGGCTTCATATCCGAGTCACGGCACCATTATGTCGCTCCCCCTCTTCGTGGAGGAACGACACTAAGCCCTGCCTAGGCTTCATATCCGAGTCACGGCACCATTATGTCGCTCCCCCTCTTCGTGGAGGAACGACACTAAGCCCTGCCTAGGCTCCATATCCGAGTCACGGCACCATTATGTCGCTCCCCCTCTTCGTGGAGGAACGACACTGAACCCTGCCTAGGCTTCATATCCGAGTCACGGCACCACTTGCTGCTCCTCCGCACGCGGAGGAGCCACACCGGACCGGGCGCTTGTTGTTCCCTTTTTTTACAAGTCCTTTCTATAGTAAAGTAAGAATAAGTAAACAGCAAACTCCCAAAGCAAGAATGAGTAGAGAGAAATGAGAAAGAACGAAGTAACGAACTTCCCCGCGAACTCTCCAACGCACTCTCCAACCAACCCACACCACCATGCCGTCTCTCTCCTCCTATATAGTCCTCTCCACCAATCCCAACTCGGCTGCCCACACGCCGAGCACGCCACTCTCCTCCAATCAGGAGCAGCTCCTGCAGCTTGTCAAGTTGGTGAGAGGCAGCTGGGTAGAAGCTGTTTACTTCTCTCCCAGCGCCATATTGTGGGAGAGCAGATGCATAGAATAAATCTTAATTCCAGTAACAGTATAGTCCGAATTGCTCCCCACAATAATTTTTGGGAAACCATATCCGCTTAAATTTTAGAAATTATATTAATACTGTTAATACCACTGATCATGTTTAACCTTGCTATATGTGAACTATACTGCAATTATATTATTTTTTAGTATTTTAACTCTTAGGAATGATACTATACCAAACCATTAGTAAGTAACAAAAAGTCATTTGCTTTCTTAAACTACTTGTAAAAGGGTTGCTACTTTCTTTAATTTGATTCTTCAACATAATACCTGTCACATAACAATTATAAAAGTCAGATTAATGAATGAGTTAATGTGATTGCAATCAAATGTATGTATGTATATACAGTTTGCAAAATCAGCAGTACTTTGTGTTGTGAGCTGTGTTTTGCAAAATCTAGAGATACTGTGTAGAGAACAGAACAGTTTGTTGTGCAGTTATCAGAAAGGCAGACAGGGACAGAGATTCTATTTTTGGGGAAGAATCTCATTAGAAGACAGAATATTCAGAGAAACATTAAAGGTCTAGGTTGAGTGGACAAATTGTACAGGGAAACCAGGGCAAAATATTTTGAGAAACATACCGACATCAGCAGGAATCTTAGCATGTTTTTAAAAATACAATTCCTTTTTTTTTTTTTTTTTGGAAAGGGCAGAGTTACAGAGAGGCAGAGAGAGGTCTTCCATCTGCTGGCTCACTCCTCAAATGGCTGCAATGGCCAGAGCTGATCCAATCAAAAACCAGGAGCTTCTTTTGGATCTGCCACGTGGGTGTAGGGGCCCAAGCACCTGGGCTGTCTTCTTCTGCTTTTCCAGGCTGTAGCAGGGAGCTGGATCGGAAATGGAGCATCCAGGGATCCAACCAGCGCCCACATGGAATGCTGGCACTACAGGGGTGGTCTCTTTACCTGCTATGCCACAGCACCGGCTCCCTTAGCACTTTTTAACTTGCAAATTCTCTAGTAATGCTTTTCATTGGCTTCTGTATTTTACTGTGGCCTTAAGTTGAATAGTAGTTGGAATTAAGTTACATAGTAGTTGCAATTTATTGAGTATTAAAGATGTCATCAAGGTAGTTTTCACAAATGACCAAATGTGTAAGTTTAAAAATATTTTTTTTAAGATCTATTTATTTATTTGAAAGAGCTACAGAGAGAGAGAGGAAGAGACAGAGAGAACATCCACTGGTTCACTCCCCAAATGGCCACAATGCCCAAAGCTGGGCTGGTCTGAAGTCAGGAGCCAGGAGCTTCTTCTGGGTCTCCTTCATGGGTGCAGGAGCTCAAGGAATTGGACCATCTTCCATTGCCTACCCAGGCACATTAGCAGGGAACTGGGTCAGAAGTAGAGCAGACAGACTTGAACTGGTGCCCATATGGGATGCCAGTGCCATAGGCCCCTAAAAATATTTTCAAATCATTGAAAACTAGTAAGAGTATTTTTTGCTATTTTATGAAGGTAATTCTGCATCCCCTTTCTGAACTTGGAACTTTATAGAATAGAAACTTGCTTTTTAAGTTCCTGGAAGTAGAAATATGGTTAAAGTAAGATTTGAGCAGAATCTTTCATTGATGATCTATAAGAAAGCCTTCCTTACTATGCAAATAATTTTGGTCAGTTTTTTTGTGGGTCTGCCTTTTCACTACTTTGTGGAGTTTTTGAAGGAATCAATAATTTTTTCCTTCTTAAGATGTATTTATTTATTTGAAAGGCGAAGTGGCAAAGAGAGGGAGAGGCAGAGAAAACGAAATTGATTTCTCCCAACCTTCCATCCACTGGCTTCTCACATGCTCGCAACAGGTATGGATGGCTAGGGGCCAGGTTGAAGCCGCGAGCCTGTAACTCCATCAGGTTTCCCATACGCATGAAAGGAATTTTAGTACTTGTGGGCCCAGCAGGAATTTGTGTCAAGGCTCTGTAGTTAGATGATGCATCGTGATGTGTCCTTTCCCTTCTTTTTTCTGATTTTAGAGAGAATTGTATTGATTCCATGGATTAATGTCTTCTAAGAAATGAATTTGTTGGTTAATGGAGTTTGTCATATATATACTTAATTTTTCAGATGTGGCTAATTTTGTAACTGTTCTTTTAATGCTAGTTTAACAGATGAAGAGTCCCGGAAAAATTGGGAAGAATTTGGAAATCCAGATGGGCCGCAAGGTGTGGTAAATGATGATTTTAAAATATTGGCAAATGGTATACATTATGAAAATATTAAGTGCATTAAAAGGGATATTTTGATTATTTTAACTTCTTAATAGGAAAGGTATAGCTACAAGGAGTTAAACAAATATATTAATTGATGTCTCTCTAATTTTATTTTTCATTCTTACGATTAATCTTAAAGATAAAACTTAGATTTGGAGGGAATAATCACTATTATTAGTCATTTCAGGTTAGTAGATAAAAATTAAATGAGAAAACATTTTTCTTTGCTGACTTCACTTTATCATATATTAATAGTATGTAATATAAACTCAAAACATAAAAAAGAGCGAAGGACTTAGTCTACTTAAGGGTTTTTTTCCCTTAAAAATTTTAATAGCGCATATCTCAACTATTTTGTTATAGGGACCCACTTAATGTAATATTTCTTAAAAGTTTTTTTTTTTACTGTTTTCTTGGGGAGGAAGGAGAGTTTTTGAGATACGAATAAATATATAAGTGGAAGTAGAGACCTTAGAAATTGATATTTTTCCTATTTCAGCCACAAGCTTTGGAATTGCCCTGCCAGCTTGGATAGTTGACCAGAAAAATTCAATTTTGGTGAGTACATTTAAATAAGGCATGTTATGATGTATTTGATGTACTGTTATAGAAGAGCATTTCAGAAAACTCATGGGAAAATAGAATTAAATGGTAAGTTTATTTTGCTTCAAAAATTTGAAAACCATGCATGGGGGTGTGGGTCTTCTAGATTTGGAAAAGGAATATTATGAAAAATTATAGATTTCAAAAATTATTGTGCTGTTTTTTGTGTTGCTATAAAGAGAGCTATTTCAAAGAAAATACTGATGTACTGTTTTTATTTTAACTATGTATTATGAAGATGGTTTTTACATAATGGAGAAAAGAATTGGTTACCATTATCAGGCTACTGGTTTGGGAGAGTGTGTTTTAAATGTAATTTTTTTTAAAGATTTATTTTTTACTTGAAAGTCACAGTTACACACAGAGGAGAGAAAGAGAGAGGTACATAGTTGCTGTGTTTATCATTTAAGTGTGTTTATCATGCTTAGGATTACTTTGTGAGAACAATAAAGAAGGGAAAAATAGTTAACTGCCAGATTTAAGATTAAACACTAGGGAAAAAAATTGATAGAAATTACTAGCAAACAGATCACTATTATTTAGTGGCTTAGTTGGGCAGAGGAACCAGTTTAGCCAAGGGCTTCTTATCTCATTAATTTCCAAGGTGCCAATAACTTGGCACAGTCTGAATATATAAATACCTTACTGGAAGGTAAAATAACTTATAAAATTGTTCTGCTGTTGTTATCTATATTGTGTCAGTAAATAGCAAATTAAGTGGTAATTTATTATAGTGGATAAGAGCATAGGCTGTAGATCTGAACTGTACTACTTATCTACGAGCAGTGTGACTTCAGACAGGCTATGCAATCTGTATGTATAACAGGTACCCTGTTCACAAAAGGAAGCCTTTATTATAGACTGATAATAAGGGTTGATTGAAATAATACACGAAGGGTGCTTTTGATAGTGCTTTTCCCATTATAAACCTTGAAATAAGTATTCATGAGTATTGTTACAATCTACCTGATGAAGGCCATCCTTTTTTCTGCTTCAATTCTAGGTTTTACTTGTATATGGATTGGCGTTTATGGTTATCCTTCCAGTTGTTGTGGTAAGTGTAAAATTTTAATCTGTATTAGAATATAATCCATTGACCCTTTTTTGTAAAAAAAAAAAAAAAAGGATTTGTTTATTTGGTTTGAAAGCTAGAATTACAGAGAAAGAGGGAGAGACAGAGAGAGAGAGATCTTCCATCTCCTGGTTCACTTCCCAAATGGGCACAGTGGCCAGGGCTGGGCCAGGCCGAAGCCAGGAGCCAGGAACTTCATTTGGGTCTGCCACATGGGTGCAGTGGCCCAGGGACTTGTGCCGTCTTCTGCTGTTTTCCCAGGCTCATTAGCAGGGAGCTGGATTGAAAGTGAAGCAATTGAAACTTTAATTGGCACCCATATGGGATACTGGTGCCTGTATGGGATGCTGGCACTGCAGATGGCAGCTTAACCTACTACGCCACAGTGTCAGCCCCAATCTGTTGATCCTTGAATTTAAGAATTTTCTAGGCAACTATAGGATCTTCTAAAGGTGACATCACTTGAATCTTTAAATGTATATTCCTTCCCAATGCAAAAACATAGAACTGAAATAATACAGATATATTTGAAGTCTTGAATGAAAGTCTTACTTCTTCATCTCTTCAGTTCCATTTTTTTTATTTTTTTTTTTATTTTTATTTTTTTTTATTTTTTGACAGGCAGAGTGGACAGTGAGAGAGAGAGACAGAGAGAAAGGTCTTCCTTTGCCGTTGGTTCACCCTCCAATGGCCACCGCTGCAGCTTGCGCCCCGCGCTGATCCGATGGCAGGAGCCAGGATCCAGGTGCTTTTCCTGGTCTCCCATGGGGTGCAGGGCCCAAGCACCTGGGCCATCCTCCACTGCACTCCCTGGCCATAGCAGAGAGCTGGCCTGGAAGAGGGGCAACTGGGACAGAATCCGGCGCCCCGACCGGGACTAGAACCCGGTGTGCCGGCGCCGCAAGGTGGAGGATTAGCCTATTGAGCCACGGCGCCGGCCTTCAGTTCCATTTTTATCAGAGATAATCATTGCTAGATTTGGTGTTTTCTCTTAGATATTTTCTACTAATTTTTGTACACAAATGGTTTTGTATGCTTTGATGTTAATTTACTCGATGTGTTGTTCTGTGTGTTTTTTGCTGCTTAATAAATAGAGGGTACAGCATACAGAACAGCTTCATTTTAAACAATAGCTTCCTAGTATCATAATATGGAGATCCCATCAAGTTTATGAATTGTATCTTTTATTACTTAGTGAATTGTGTTCTTTCTAAGTCTGCAATTTGTCTGAGTCCCGTTTGTAGGCTAATAATTAACCTGTCATGCATTCTTCATAGAGTTGTGTGAGAATCCATTTATTTGAAACCTTGTGAATGAAAATATCATGTCAACTCTAAAATTGTTCCTATATTTATACAGTATTTGTTTAAGACATTTTTTTGTGTCAGGAATAAATTTGTTGCTTGTAGCAGTGGGTGGTTTTATTCCTATTTCATCCTCAGTTTTTACATAAAACTTATATGCTTTAATCATATAAATGCAGTGACTTAGGATAGTATTTTGGCTTCAGGCATTATAAGTATTTGCTAAACAAATAATTTGAAAGCTATAACAGGGTTTTGTTCTAAAGCTCAGTATTTTTATTGGTTTGTGAGTATTTGGAAAAGTTGACTGTTATTATATTTTGCATCAAACTATCAGTGTTGTTTTCATGCATTATTTCTTGTTTAATTTTATTTGTGTTTTAGGGCTCTTGGTGGTATCGCTCAATACGCTATAGTGGGGACCAGATTCTAATACGTACAACACAGATTTATACATACTTTGTTTATAAAACCCGAAATATGGATATGAAACGTAAGTAAACAAATAGCTATACTATTAGTCACACTACTTTCTGAGTCATTTATGTGGAGTTGAGATATATTCCTAAACTCTACTGGAAGAATTTCATTTTACAGTTTTATAGACAATCAGTTCATGTAACTAAAGCTGAAGCAAAGAGCTCTGACCATTTATCACATTTCTTGATTTTTATTTATATTATTCCCATTTACTCAGTTATGTATATCATCAAAAATTTTATGTATACAAATTTTGTGTGTGTGTGTGTGTGTGTGTGTTTAAAGATTCATTTATTTGAAAGGCAGAGCAACAGATTTAGGGAAAAAGAGAGGGAACTTCCGCTAGTTCACTCCCCAAAGACCTCAACAGCCAGGATTAAGCCAGGCTAAAGCCAGGATCTTGGAATTCAGTCTGGGTCTCCTGTGTGGGTGGCAAGGAGCAAGTACTTGAGTGTGCTGCCTCCCAAAGTGTACATTAGTAGGAAGCTGGAATCCAAAGCAGAGCTAGGCGTGACCCCAGGTACCCTGATAAGGAATGCCATGTCCCAGGTAGGTTTTTAATTGCTGTGCCAAATACCTGCCCTCTGTATGTGCTGTTTTAAAGCTCATTTTATACTTGACAAACTGAAGTAACGTGCTGAAGGGATATCTAAGTGACTGAGTCAGGATGGAACTTGGTGTACTAGTTTCTGATCTTGAAACCATTGCATACAATATACTGTTAAGACAATAAAAATAAACTGAGGTCTTGGGTATATTGAAAGAAAACTGACAGAATATTTTACTCCCAGAGTCTTACTTATAAAGCTTTTTATGAAAAAAAAATTCCCTAAATCTTTTTCCTTGATTCCATAAAGCAAACTTTGTAGCATTTATCTTTGCATATAATGTTGCCTTTCAGAATGACTTCTGCAGCATCACAGATACCCCTCTCTCCTTCCTTAAAAGTAAAAGACATAAGTTTTTAATTGCCTGCTATGGGAGAGTCCCTGTTTTTTTGTTTTTGTTTTCTTTCCTCCAAAATTGAAACTGACCTTTTTGGATTTTCCAATTTTACTGAGTTTCTTGGTAGTGAGAAAATGACTCCTTAGGATTGTTATGAATGTGTGTGAACAGATAACTGTTTCTAAGTATTTCTCTCCTTTATACATTTTATTCTTTGTTACATAAGATTGAAATACTAATACAGAATCTTACTCCCTTATAAAAATGCTTCATGTTTAATATCTTTTTTTGCCTCAATCTTGATTTCTGTTTAATTTCTGAGAGTGTCATTGTAGCCTTACACAGTTCTTTTTGAAAAACATTAAGCTAGTGAATTCCTTTACATCCTTAGGTAATTCAGCTGTCTTGAGCATTTTCCTGAAATTTGAGGGTAGTAACAGTAATAGCTCCCACTGTGCTTGCCGTATGTCAGGCACATTGAAGAAAGTGAAGGGCAGAGAGATCATTTAGCTAGAAAGTGACCAAATTCCAGCATCTATTGTCTTGCCTTTCGTGAGTCCATTACATATATTTTCTGCTGTAATATGAGATTGATGACTACAGTGCCAGTTCTTGAAGAGCCATATAATGGTTAACAAAAGTAATGCTAGTATTTGAGGCTATGAATTGTGTATTTCAGTCGTGTGTATTTCCACAAAACCCTTCAGGCTTCTATAGTACAATTTCTGGAAATCACAACATAGTTTAGTTTAGTTTAGTTTACTCAGCTCTGAGAAGTCATGCAATAAAGAAACCTTTCACTCTTTTTAGCCCATTATTTCCAAGCATATTTAGCCACAGGGCCCCTTCTTTTTTTTTTTTTTTTTTAACCTAACAGTTAACATCACGTGGAATGCTAATACTCTGTAGAACATTGCTATGGAACACATGCTTGAGGTTTAGAAATAGATACTATTTTTAGTGATTTTAATGCATCAATTGCTTTGGTTCTCTAAATTTGATATAAACGTCACTTGGGATAGATGATGTGCACATTTAAAAAAGTGAAATTTTTTTTAGTGGGAAAAGTTATCACTTTTCAGTAGTGGAGTTCAGATGGTTTTTAACATTGTGCACAATTTGAAAAGTGTCCCACTTTAACATTAATGAAGTATTCCTGAAAGGAAAATTAATAGAGAAGCATATTTATTTACTTTCAAAAATTTCTTTCATTTCCTTAGGCCTTATCATGGTTTTGGCTGGAGCTTCTGAATTTGATCCTCAGTATAATAAAGATGCCACAAGCAGACCAACGGATAATATTCTAATACCACAGGTTAGGATCATCTCTTCAATTAAGCACCAGAATGAATGCTTTAAAGAATGTATTTTTGAATAATTGTTTTATTTGTTCTAGCTAATCAGAGAAATTGGCAGCATTAATTTGAAGAAAAATGAGCCTCCACTTACCTGCCCATATAGCCTGAAGGCCAGAGTTCTTTTACTGTCTCATCTTGCTAGAATGAAAATTCCTGAGACCCTTGAAGAAGGTACTTGTAATTTTAATATCTACAAGGTTTTGATTGTACCGAAGAACAGATTTCGTTAGACCTAATAGTGCAGTGTTTTTCTCACTCAAAAAAAAATTTTTTTTTTTACTCAAAAATTGCTCAAGGACCTTTTAAAAAGATACCTATATGCTATATAATTACTGTACATAGAGTTTGAAGGACTAAATAAGTCAGAGGTTTTGGCAAATGTCAAAAGTCTAATACTTCACAGTGAGAGAGAATGCTCTGTATGAAAAATATTTGGATAATTGTGGATTATAGAAAAAGTTCCTAATGACTTTTTTTTTTATGACTTTTTTAAAGGGACATTGTAAGCATTTTGGAGAGACAAAAAGTTTTGCAGCAAATATTTCCACTGACATCCACCTCCTTCCCTACCCACCCCTTCTTTCCAACAGTGGTTACTAATAGTATCTGTTTGATCTTTATTTAAAGTTTCATAAACACTTGAAGCTGTCTATTCTATGTAAATGAAAAGTAGTAGATTGGGACAATGTTATTTCCATGGATGCCATTAAATTGATTGTCACCTGTTCATCTGTATTATTTCTTTTTTTTTTTTTATTTCCACTTTGTCTTTTCTCTCTCTCTCTCTCTCTTTTTTTTTTTTTAATGTTTTGTTTGTTTTTTTCGAGAAGGCCCCCCCCTATTTGACAGAGTTAGAGAGAGAGAGAGAGAGAGAGAGAAAGGTCTTCCTTCCATTGGTTCACTCCGCAAATGGCCGCTATGGCTGGCGTCTGCGCCGATCCGAAGCTAGGAGCCAGGTCTTCCTCCTGGTCTCCCATGTGGGTGCAGGTACCCAAGCACTTGGGCCATCCTCCACTGCCCTCCTGGGCCACAGCAGAGAACTGGACTGGAAGAGGAACAGCCGGGACTAGAACCTGGCACCCATATGGGATGCCGGCGCCACAGGCAGAGGATTAGCCAAGTGAGCCTTGATGCAGGCCCCCATCTATGTTATTTCAAGTTGAAATTTTCAAAGAAAGTTATTAGGAAATAAATGTTCTTTGTCAATGAGATCTTCCCACTTCCCTTCTCTTTAAGCTAATAATGCGGTCAAGTGCCTCTGGAAAATGATACCCAGTAATAGGTGATAGAATAGATGCTTATGATAGAATGTAGGAGTACTGTCTGGGAACTTTGGAGTTGAAGTATTCATTTAATTAGTAATTCTGTTGCTAATGTTCTGTACAGATATGTAGTCATCTTAATTTTTACAAAGTAAAAATCTGAAGCCAGGAGCTTCTTCCAGGTCTCCCACATGCGTGCAGGGGTCCAAGGACTTGGGCCATCTTCCACTGCTTTCCTAGGCCTTAGCTGGATGGGAAGTGGAGCAGCTGGGACTTGAACTGGTGCCCATATGGGATGCCAGCACTGCATGGCAACTTTACCTGCTACACCACAGTGCTGGCCCCAACTTAAAGACTTTTTTTTTTTTTTTCTTTTTTTTTTTTTTTACAGGCAGAGTGGACAGTGAGAGAGAGAGAGACAGAGAGAAAGGTCTTCCTTTTGCTGTTGGTTCACCCTCCAATGGCTGCCACGGCTGGCGCATCGCGCTGATCTGAAGCCAGGAGCCATGTGCTTCTCCTGGTCTCCCATGGGGTGCAGGGCCCAAGCACTTGGGCCATCCTCCACTGCACTCCCTGGCCACAGCAGAGAGCTGGCCTGGAAGAGGGGCAACCGGGACAGAATCCGGTGCCCCGACCAGGACTAGAACCCCGTGTGCCGGCGCCACAAGGCGGAGGATTAGCCTATTGAGCCTTTTAAAAACAAAAACATTGATTCATTAAGCTAAACTCTGTAATATGAAAAAGTACTTTGACTGGTAAGAGCCCAGGTTTTCTGACTCGTTTTTGACATAGTGATACTGAGGAGAAACTTCCTTTCAACCTGTAAAACTTGGAGCTCATGTGAAATATTTGTGGTACAGCTTCAATTTAGTATTAGTCTTGGGCTGCAGGTGATAAAGATGCTTTACTATAAAATTAGAATGATTTGTTTCAGGTTTTTGATTATTTTACAGATCAGCAATTTATGCTAAAAAAATGCCCCGCTCTACTTCAAGAAATGGTTAATGTTATCTGCCAGCTCATAATAATGGCGCGCAGCCGGGAAGGTGAGGAGGAACTGTAATTCATTGTGTTTCTCTCTTTCTTGTAAGCATATGCAGATTACTCTTTATAGTTTTATGTTTTATGAGTACTTACGGTAATTCTCTCTACCAGTTCAATCAGCTTTCATGATTTTTATTGTTTCATTGTTTGACTTGCAGAGATTTAAAATCTTCTTTTGCCTTTCTCTGAATATTTTTGTAGTTAGGTCATTCTGTATTTTAACAATGGGCTTGAAATAATAATTATTTAACTGATGTAGTGATTCCCCCAACATGATTTTGTGTGTGTGTGTGTGTGTGTGTGTGTGTGAAAGGAAGAGAATTGGGATTTGTAGAAAGCGATGGAAAGGGAGGCCCTTAAGAAGGAGGCAGCTGTGGTGATGTCCGTTGCTCGCATGCTTTCTGTGTGTTCTGAATAATGAGCGTCTGATAATTTACCGCTGTGGAGGGTAATGCAAAGACGTTTTCATTAAATCAGTGGTTGTTGCTGAATAATGTGTATTTGACCAAGTTTGTGATTTTTAAATATTTTCTTCATTAACTTTGAAAGAAAAATCAACATTATGATCTTAAAATTTGAGGTATGAAGGCTGTTAGTGTGAATTTTGTGTTTGTGATGGATTGTATATTCCTGAACAAGTGAAAAATCCAGCCCTGCTTGTTTTTTCCTGTTCTTTCTAAGAAAGGGAGTTTCGCGCTCCAACTTTGGCATCCCTAGAAAACTGCATGAAGCTTTCCCAGATGGCTGTTCAAGGCCTGCAGCAGTTTAAGTCTCCTCTTCTGCAGCTCCCTCACATTGAAGAAGACAATCTGAGACGGGTTTCCAATCATAAAAAGGTAGTTTGCTGCCACTTTTGTTTTTAGCAGTTTGTCATGTTTCTTCAAGGTAACATGAATAAAAAATTATTTAAAATGGTTACCATGAATTTCTTAGATTTAGAATGTCTTAAGTATTCTAAAACTTTCTCTTGTGGTTCTGCTAATATTTTCTTGATTAGGTAGCTTATTTTAGAATATTTCACTATTGTAAATACTTTTACTGTTTTGGGTGGGTCAGTGTGTTTTAGCAGTTAGCACTTTATTATCTTATATGAAGATACTGTTAACAGGGAAATGGCTACGAAGGCAACCTCCATTCCTGTCTCAATTTCATGTGGACAAGACAGTGAGCAAGGCAAAATTTATTTAAGTCAGAAATCACCTACCACAAAGGAAGGAGGCTCCAAGAGGAAACTTGCCAAACTGGGGTCTTTTAAATGCAATTGGGGGAGGGGAATAACAGCTATCAGAGGGAAGGCACAAAACCCTCCAGAGGGCCAGAATTATAATCCTGTCTAGCCTGATAGTGATAAAACAAAAAAGCCATCAAAAGGCTGAGAGACAGGTAACCTCACCTTTCTATTCTCATGATAAAACTAGAAACTCAGAGGGGTGGGATCAGTACTTTCATCTTGCTAAAGGTAGCTTTTGGCAGAAGCATCTTGTCCACTCTGAAAGAGACTCTCCCTTTTTTCGTTCCACAGGGACCTGGCCTAACACAGGGACCTGCCCATCTAACTCCTCACAGTATTCAGAAAGTTCATGGAAAATGAAATTAAAAGTGAGTTTATTTTGGTAAAAAAGGTTTTTTTCCTAATAGGTGGAAAATATATATTATAAAAAACTATATATGGGTTTCAAAATTGTTTTTACATCAAAATAGACTCATACTTCTAATTCCATTTTCCATAAACTTTTTGAAATAGCGTTGTATTACCAAAAATAACGTAACAGTTAAAAATGTTTTGTATACTTTGCAGCCCTTTTTTTTTTAAGATTTATATATTTTAAAGGCAAAGCTGTATAGAGAGAGGGAGAGATACAGAGGGAGAGAAATCTGCCCACTGGTTCACTTTTTTTTTTTTTTTTTAAGATTTATTTATTTCAAAGTCTGAGCTAGAGAGGAGAGAGAGAGAGAGAGAGAGAGAGAGAGATCTTCAACCTGCTGATTCATTCCCCGATTGGCTGCATTGATCTGAAGCCAGGAGCCAGGAGCTTCTTCTGGGTCTCCCATACGGGCGCAGGGGCCGGAGGGCTTGGCCCATCTTCTACTGCCTTCCCAGGCCATAGCAGAGAGCTGGATCGGAAGTGGAGCAGCCAGGACTCAAACCAGTGTCCCCTGGTTCACTTTCCAAATGTCTGAAATAGCCAGGGCTGGGCCAGGCTTAAGCTAGAAGCCAGGTACTCCAGTGGGTCTCCCACATGAATGGTAAGAACCACCCAGAAATCTTCTGCTGACTTCCCAGGTGCATTATCAGGAAGCTGGATCAGAAGCTGAGCAGCCAGGACTCAAAACTCAGCACTATAATATGGAATTCTGGCATCTCAAGCAATGTCTTAACCAGTTGGTGTTACTTCTTGCTTGGATGAAGATTCTATATTGGTGGCCTCTAACTTTCTTTTTTCTTTTTTTTTTTTTTTCAGATTAAAAAGCATAAGCCTGTGTTAACTGTTAACTGTGTAATAAAAAATTCTTATTTAAATCTCCATGAAAGAAAAGCCATGAATTTGCCATTTGTTTTATTTCCTGCTTTGAAATGCATATATCTTAACATTTTTTTCTGAAAGCTGCTGGATCTTAAGTCAACATGCTAATAATTTCCTTTTTATGAAAATTTTATGAATTAGGAATTTATTTTCTTTTTTTTATTCAGTACAAAATTAAAACCATCCAGGATTTGGTGAGTTTAAAAGAGTCAGATCGTCACAGTCTATTACACTTCCTTGAAGATGAAAAATATGAAGAAGTTATGGCTGTCCTTGGGAGTTTTCCATATGTGACCATGGACATAAAATCGCAGGGTAAGTAGGTTTCTGTGTTGAACATTGGCTCTCATTGATTTGACTTAAGGTTCCTGAGACATTTTATTGAATAAAAATATAACTTGTAATTAGACTTAACAGTTGTTTACCTAAGAATCCTGATTTTATTGTCTTCATAATAAGACTAAGACTGAGAGCTCTCTATTTTGTATTTCAGCTTTCAGGAATTTCTTAACTTTTCCAAAGATGAAAGAGATTTTCAGGTATAATAAGACAGTGAGAGATATCTGAAACACATTGTTAATATAAAAAAAGTTTCATGTTCTAAAATTTTTTTTAATATTTATTTATTTATTTGAAAGCGTTACACAGAGAAGAAGCAGAGAGAGAGGAAGAGAGAGAGATGGCCAATCCAAAGCCAGGAGCCAGGAACTTCTTCCAGGTCTCCCATGTGGAACAGGGGCCCGAAGAATTGGGCCATCTTCTCCTGCTTTCGCAGGCCATAGCAGAGAGCTGGATAGGAAGTGGAGCAGCTGGGACTCCAACCGGCGCCCATATGATACTGGCACTGCAGGCAGTGGCTTACCCGCTACACCAAAGTGCTGGCCCCCTAAAATTAATTTTTAAAAACCCAAACCCAACTCGTTTATGTTAATTAAGCCTTGGAAATTACCTTGTTTTATGCCATATTTCAAGTGTTTTTCTCATCTTACCTCTGTGTCTGTTTTGAGAGGAAAATAGATTCTTTTTTTTTTTTAACTATATAATTCCCCTATGAGTTTTTTCTTTTCTTTTTTTTAAGATTTATTTATTTACTTGAGAGGCAGAGTTACAGGGAGAGGGAGAGAGAGAGTTTTCCATATGCTGGTTCATTCCAAATGGCTACAGTGGCCAGAGCTAAGTGTATCCGAAGCCAGGAGCCAGGGAGCTTCTTCTGGATCTCCCATGTGGGTACAGGGCCCCAAGCACTTGGACCATCTTCTGCTGCTTTCCCAGGGTATCAGCAGGGAGCTGGATCAGAAGTGGATCAGCCAGGACTTGAACCAGTGCCCATATGAGATGCCTGCGCCACAGGCGGATGCTTAAACGACTATACCACAAAGTCACCCCACCGCATGAGTTATGATAGCTGGAAAATAATATTGTAGAATAATGACAGTGTTAGTCATCACCTGCTCCATTCCTTCATTCTGATACTGTTCTGAGCTTTAACATTGTTAAAAATATTGTTAAAGTGTTAAGTGAGTGACACAGGTGTTGTGCCATGTATTGATGCAACAAATGTTGAATGCTGTGTGTTCTTCCTGGTGCTGGGGAAACAGTGATAACACAATCTCTGCCTTATTGACTTTGCATTCTAAAAGGAATTGGGAAGAAGTAAATGGCTCCCAAATATTGGGAAATAAAGGCAGACTATTCAGTCTGGCTTTGCTTTGGCTAGAGTATCAGATCCCTGTTAAAATTTGGACTGCTTTGGTGGGGTGTTGAGGTTTCCTTTTGGGTCCTGGAGTTTTCAGGCTTTAAAAACTGTAATATAAAAGGTATATTTAGGACTGCACTTACTTAACCAGGAACTGTTCAAATAAAAATCTGGTTTGGGACTTAGAGGTACTCTTTGATATAATCAAAAATTTTTGAAAGTACATACTTAGAAAATACTGTTAGAAGATATTTTCATATAAGAAATGAAAATATTCATTCTCACCAGGAAACATGGCCACAAATTCCCTTCCATAGCATCTTATATAGAGAGTTTATGACTTTGTATATTTATATTAACTTACAGTTAATGAAAGAAGAGTGGAAGCAAGAAAAAGGGACATGAGTAATGCAATACTGAAGATGGTGGGTTTCCTTCCCCCACGTTGCTGGAGGCTGTATAGAATCTCCTGTAATCTTTTTCTTCATTTTAAACTATCAAATGGCAGTAGACATTGATATAGTAGTCACTTCCCATGTTTTGCTCATGCACATACCTCTTTATAAAATGAAAAGTGTAGATGAATGTGTGCCCTGGATTTGATTTTTGGTAATGGAGACTTCCAGAGTGGAGAAGAATACTGCACCCTTTTGACACTCAGTGATCATACCTCAGAGCCAGTGAGGAGTTCGCAGTTAAAGATTGTTGGGACCCTTTGCTTCCCAACTGTTGGTATGTCAGAAAAGACTAGGATGGAGTGTACCAAATCTAAATTCCCAGAACTGTAGGCAAAAATAAGTAGTGAGGAAATCACTTCAAGATAAAAGCTGTAGAAAAAGTGAGTTAATTCAGTAGAAATGGAAGATATGTTTGAAAAATTATGTTAATTTTATTTTTATTTTTTTAGATTTGGTCAATATGAGACAAATATAGTTTTAAAAATTAAATGCAAAATTTTATTTAGTAATATTTATTGTAGAAAAAAAGTTTATTTTAAATATTTGTTTATCTGAAAGGCAGAGTGACAGGGTGGGGGTTGTGGAGGAGAGAGAGATGGAGAGATTATCCATCTTCTGGCCAATAGTTCACTCTCCAGATGGCCACAACAGCCAGGTCTGGGTCAGGCTGAAGTGAGGAGCCAGGAACTCCATCCAGGTCTCCTACATGGGTGGCAGGAGCCCAAGTACCTGGACCATCTTCTGCTGCCTTCCCAGGCTTATTAGCAGAAAGCTGCATTGGAAGTGGAACCACCAGGACCAGAACCAGCATTCTGATGTGGGATACTAGTGTTGTAAACAATGGCCTAACCTACCACTCCACAACACTAGCTCCTTGGAAAAATATTTTTAAAGTAACTTTTTATTATTGTTAGTTTTATTTGTTTGAGAGAGAGAAGAGAGAGCTCCAATCTGTTGTTTCACTCCACAGATGGCTAGAATGGCTAAGGCTGAGCCAGGCTGAAGCTGGTAACCAGGAACTCAGTCTAGGTCTCCCGTGCGGGTAGCATGGACCCAGATACTTGAGCCACCACCTGCTGCCTCACAGGTTATGTGTTAGCAAGAGGATAGAATCAGGAACAGATCATTAATAGGTTTAGGACACTAGCTTTAATTCATTATGTTATTCAGGGGTTGCTCATGCAGATAAAATTTTGTGAGTATAAGCTTTGTTCAATTTAATAGAGTGAGCCCTGTTTTTATATCACTATAAGAGAACTGTGTTCTGGTAGTCCTCATATTATATTGTGATTTCAAAGACCTGGATTCAAGACATCAATGCCAGTTTCTGAACTTCATTTTCTTCTTTGAAGTGGAAATAATAGTATTACTTTGGAGAGCTTATTGTAAGGGTTAAATGAGTCAGTTTGTAGGTATTTATTGGAGTCACATACAGAGTAGTCTAAATTATTCTTTAATAAGTTTAAAATATAATATATTCAAAATATGGTAGTACCACATTGATTTGGGTAAGTAAAATTTTGCTGTTTGTGTTGACATACAACTTTAATTTGTTCTCTTTTATTTTCTTTCCATCTTACAGTATTGGATGATGAAGATAGCAACAATATCACAGTAGGATCCTTAGTTACCGTGTTGGTTAAGTTGACAAGGCAAACAATGGCAGTAAGTAATCTGTTTGTATTTTTATGGTTCAAGAGTAAGAGATCAAGATTTTTATATTTTTCTCATTTTAAGTAACTTCTCAAGGTTGAGACTTGTAGTAGCAGTTTTAATTTTTTAAATTTAATTTTGCAAGTTCTGTTAGCTGTTATTTGAATTCTAAATTAATTTTTGTAAGGCATAGTTTTCATATACAGCAAAAAAGCCTAGAAAATAGATTAATTCTTCATGTGGTAGATTAATTATCAATAAAACATTATATTAATAACAAAGTAATGTGGATATTGGTTGTTAAGTTGTACTACACAGAGGCTCATTACTGATCATTAAGAATTTTATCAGCTACTCATTTTCAATCAATTCCTTAGAGGATTTACTTTCATAAAATTTAAAACATTTAAAAATTACAATGAAAATCACTTTTTCTGGTGTGAAAAATTCTTGCTGTCTGGTAAAAATCAAGCAATGCAGAAAAGTATGCAAAGAAATTAAATTTACCTACGGCTTTGAGACGATTAGTTTTACAGCCCATCCCTGCGTGTCTGCTAGTGCATGTATGCCTGCAGAATTCAGTGGTGTTTTTATCATGGGTCCCTTGATTAAACCCCTTGCCAGTACCAGGTGACCATAACTCACACTGTTATGTATGTCCTTTCATGGCTGTCTGCATGTTCATATTTTTTATCTGGACATTTTGACATTAATGCTTCTCTAATTTTTTTGTTACATGTTATGCATCTTGTTTTTATTTCTATTACATACATATATATTACCTTCCAAGTCAACCAGTAAAATTGTAACTTAGTTGATAGTGGAAAAAGCAAAATTGCCTTGGAATAAGGAAAATAATTGAGTATTTATATTCCCATTCATGTATAACCTGTCCTTCAGGGTAGGGTAATCAGGTACATTGCTTTAAAAAATTTTTCCTCCTCTCCCCTTCTTTAAAATTTATTTATTTGAAAGACAGAGTGACAGATTTTTGATATACTAGTTCACTACCCAAATGGTTACAGCATCTGTGGTTGGGCCAAACTGAAGCCAGGAGCCAGCAACTTCCTCTGTGTCTCCCATTTGAGTAACAATGAATGTCTTAGGTACTAGAGTCAGCATTTGCTGCTTCCTATGTACATTAGCAGGAAGCTGGATGGGAAGCAGGGACTAGAACCAGCACTCCAATATGGAAGGCTGGTGTCCCAAGCAGCAACCTAACCTGTTGTGCCACAATACTGGCCTCAATTTATTTGGAAAGCTTTATGTTTTATTTATATATATATATATATAAATAACATATACAGAGAGAGAGAGAGACAGACAGACAGACAGACATAGAGCAAGAGATCTTCCCAGTCTGGGCCAGGCTGAAGTCCAGAGCCTGGAATTCAGCTTGGGTCTCCAACATAGGTAGCAATATTCCAAGTACTTGAGCCATCATCACCTGCTGGCTCCCTGGGTACACATTAGTGGGAAGCTGGATCAGTTGCAGAGCTGGGGACTCCAACAACACACTCCAATAAGGGATTCAGGCATGCCAAGCATTGTACCAAACACCTACCTTTAAACTTTTCTTTTAATTCCATTTCCCATGAACTTTTTTGCAGCACACTTGTATAGATCATAAGGTTAGCTTTAATAACTATAGGGGGTTTATAAAACACAGCCTACATCTTTGTCATCTTCTAGTATAGCTTGTTACTGGGTTCTTTATGAGATTTAAATCTTAAATTTATAACTTCTGTACTGATTCTAAACTGATGATGCAGCAGATAAATATATTCTGGAATATGTGGATTTTATTGGTGATCCATTTCTTAGTCACAGAACTGAGAGCAGTGTCACTATAATGAGGTTTGAATGTGAGAAAATAATTTGATGTCTTTAAATTCTCATGACATTAAAACACTCAAATTTGACTCCTGTTAGAATTATAGTAAAATTTTAAACTATGAAATATTTTTAGCTTTATAATAAATTTACATATCTTGAGTCACTTTATTTCTGAAGCAGACTATGCTTTTCAAAATATACTGAAGATCAGAAGATAGCTATGTACAAATGTACACATTTCTCAGTTAGTAACTGCTTAGCCCCTCCATCCCCCACTGTAGCCAGTTGAATGAAACTTACTGATTATGTATTTTAAAGGTTGTTTGTTTATGTTAAATGTCGGTTTACAGATTTTACGTTTTGTCTTGCTATCCCTAGGAAGTATTTGAAAAGGAACAGTCAATCTGCGCTGCAGAGGAACAGCCAGCAGAAGATGCGGTAAAAACTTGAGCTTTCTGCGCTTCTCTTTCCTAGTGAAAGAAAGCTTTTATTTGCTTCTCTGATTGACTTCTGTAACTGTTGGAGAGTAATTCAGTCCTTTCCATCTAAAATTTATTGTGAGTTCCAGGTGAACCTGTTGCTGCAAGTCACTGAGTGTGTTGTGTGTTGTGATTTACAGCAGGGTGATATTAATAAGAACAGAACAAAAGGAGGATGGCAACAGAAGAGTAAAGGACCTAAGAAAACTGCTAAATCAAAAAAAAAGAAGCCTTTAAAAAAAAAACCTACGCCTGTGCCATTACCACAGACAAAACAACAGAAACAAAAGCAGGCAAATGGAGTTGTTGGAAGTGTAAGTTTATTAACTTTGTTAATTCATTTATTTATTTGGAAATGCAGGAAGAGACAGGACTAGAACCAGCTCCCATCTATGTGCGGGTTCATTCCCCAAATGCCTTCACTACCAGGAGTGGGCCAGGTCAAAGCTGAGAGCACATGACTCAATCCAGGCTTCCCTTGTGAGTGGCAGAGACCCATGCTTTATTGTTTACACAACAGCACTGACCCCAGTATAAGTCTTCTACCTCTTATTTTACTAATTCAAATTTGTCTTAACTTGTCCTTTGGATTTCCAGCTAAATACTTAAAATAAGTTTGACAATTTCTACTTTAAAAAGCTGCTGGAATTCAGATTGGTATAACATTGATGTAGTTCATTTTGGGGAGAATTGACATGTTAATATCGAGGCTTTGGGGTAGGTTTTGTTGTGAAGCCTGTAAAGCCTCCCACCTACCTGTATATGCCATACTGGCATCCCATACAGATGCTAGTTCAAGTCCTGGCTGCTCCACTGCCGATCCAGCTCTCTGCCAATGGTTTTGGAAAGCAGCGAAAGATGGTCTAACTATTTGGGCCCCTGCCACCACCGTGGGATACCTGCATGAAGCTCCTGGCCCAACCCTGGCCCTTGTGACCATCTAGGAAATGAGTGAACCAGCAGATGGAAGGTCTCTCTCTCTCTCTCTCTCTGTCTCTCTGTCTCTACCTCTTTTTCTGTAGCTCTGACTTTTCAAACAAGTAAGTAAATCTTTTTTTAAAAAAAGTAATAATGATGGACCCTTTGTCTTCATTTTGATCTCAGAAAGAAAGTAAACAATATTTCACCAAAAAGTACAACAATAGAGGATTTTTGTGGTATTTTAAAATCAGCTTAAGGAAATATTTATTCCTTTCTATTTCCCAACTTCAGATACTGAATTTTTAATTTTCTCCTTTTGTTAATGTGGTGAACTATATTGATGGATTAAAAAAATTTATGCCATTCTTGCATTTTTTAAACAGATCTCTATAACATGGGATCCTTTTTCATATTTATTTGGATTTGGTGGTATTTTGTTTTGATTCTTTTGTGTGCATTTATGCGATAATACTGTTTTATTGCTCCCTTTTTGTAATATCCTTGTCAGGTTTTTATTTGATTTTTATTAACCTCATTAAACAAATTAGGAAATATTCTCTTTTACCTGGGAAAGTTTTATGTAAGCTTGGATTTGTTAGTTTCTTCTTTGGAAGAATTTTCTAGGGAAGCCATCTGGTAATAGATGTGGTTTAGTTATAGAATATGTTTCTTTAACATATATTCTGCTGTTTTCTTTTATAGGTCTTAGGTTTTTTTTAGTTTTGTTTTTCAAGGAATTTGTTTCCTCTAAGTTATTAAATGTATTGACCTGAAATTATTTTTTATTTTTACAATTTTTATTTATGTGAAAAGCACACACACATACACACATACACACACAGATGCTCCATCTGCCATTTCATTCTCTAAATGCCCACAACAGCCAGGGCTGGGCCAGGTCAAAGCCAGGAACTAGGAACTCAGGCTAGGTCTTTGCATAGGTGGCAGGGAGCCAAATACTTGGGCCATCACCTGCTGCCTCACTGGTTATGCATTAGCAGGAAGTTGGAATCAAAAGGAGAGCTGGGACTTGAACCTAGACACTAACATGGGATGCATATGTCCCAGGTGGCAACTTAACATCTGTGACAAACACCTACCCCAAAGTTATTTTTAAAGTTTGTCAAATCTAGTTACGTCTCTTTTATTAATTATGTTGGTAGTTTGTATTCTGTCTTTTTTTTCTCTCTCCAGCTTTGCTGCCTAGAGGTTTATCAATTTTACTAATCTTTTCTAAGAACCAATTTTGGGCTTTGTTGGGAGGGGGTTCTCTTGTATATCTGCTTTCTCTTCTATACTGTTTACTTCTTTCTTTAATTTGCTGTCTTTTTTCTTCTTGAAATGAACTAGTGGGTATTTTGCCTGGGATATTGAGTTTCCTTTCTGCATTACAACCCTGTCAGTTTATAGAAAGTGATCTCAACTCCCAAAGCAGTACTTTGCTGTAAACTGCTCATTTTTCTCAAAGTATTTTGTATAATTGTTGATTTTTTTTTAAAGCTGAGTCATCTTCACCATTGTGGTAGTAGTATACCTTGCAAATATAAATAGAATATTTTTATTTTACATACTATACCGAATGAGTACAACTACTGATAGATAAGCCAAATGTTAAAGTCTGCAATCTAGCGCTCACATTTTTTATAAATAAGAATATTTATAATTTTTAAAAATTTTACATGAATAATGAAATTATAATCTTGGGCTGGTTATGTCAAAGTAAGTTAGATTCAGGATTCACAATAGTATATACTCATTGCGGTATTTAGAACTTTTAGTGCTTGCTTTTTGCTTTTAGGAAGCTGTGGTAAAAGAAGATGAAGAAGAAGTATCAGACAAAGGCAGTGATTCTGAAGAAGAGGAAACCAATAGAGATTCCCAGAGCGAAAAAGATGATGGGAGTGACAGAGACTCTGACAGAGAACAAGATGAAAAACAAAACAAAGATGATGAAGCGGTACGACTTAGAGGTTTAAAGTGATTGAAATTATACCTCTGACAACTGCTTTGGGTTTCTTATTCCTCATTTATTTGCTTGCTTACGTATCTGTTTACTTGTCTTATGTAATACCCATATATTTCATAATTTCATTACTTTGTAAGGAGTTTTTGTAAGAATTTTTTTATTCATAAATAGAGCTTATGAGTAAAAATTATTTCTAAGAAAAATAGGAAATCCTAATTTTCTTAAATCTTACATTGCTAGATGAAGTATGACTTTGCTTTGAGGTGAAGTCAGTTTGATCTCTAAAGGGAGTTTTCAGCATTGTAGATGTCTGTGGACGTATGAGTAAGGGACAGTGGACTGTGAAACAGGTGACAGAGGCTTTTGTCAGTTTCAAGTAAAGAAACATTCCTGTGGGCCCTGATAGTGAAAGGTTAAATAAGGGAAAGCTAGCATTATAGAGTGACACCTGATTTTGTGGGGTTGAAAAGACATGAAAGGTATTGATTAAGATGGTTAGGAATCTAGAGTATAGGAAAAGATCTCATGGCATTAAGTGGCATATGATCTATGGGCTGACCATAGAGAAGAAAATGTTCGGTGGGCAAACAAGGGTCCCTGGAGGCTCACTGTAGATGAAGTGTGAGCTATGATGATGTCCTCCACTTGGTGGTGGTGTTCTTTTTGACTGGGCCACTGATCTAAAAGCAGCCCATGTGGGTTGGGAGAGAAGAAGGGAATAGCCCTCTGGGGCAGAAGGAGAGGGCAGAAAGAAGATTAAAGGGTCAAAATGTAACAAAGGACCCCTCCCAGCCTTGGGAATGGTGAGAAACAAATAGGAGTAACTGTTGTTACCAATTGCTGGGCCTTTATTGTTTTCATTTTTTGAGAATTAAATTGATTGCTAGGAAATTAAGATCTGTCATTGTTCCCTAGCCTCACTTTGGGAAAGAGTTGACATATCCTTTCTTAGTATATTAGGGTTAATAGAAGTGATTCTTAGGGGTTTTGACACTCATTTCTTCACATAACCAAAATACATTCCTTTAATCAATAAATAACTACTCATTATCACATCACAAAGTACTGTCTTAGATGACAAGGAATGCAGCCAGATAGGAAACAGTTTCTGCCCCTGACTGATATGTAAATGAGTGGAGGGGGCAGAGCCTAGTGCAGTGGCAGCATGAAGTAGGGCAGCAGCAGCTCAGCCCGAGGCGAAGGGACACTGTGGGCTCTCCTCAGGCACCCGTATTTCAGCCTGAGGTACAGGAAGACTCTGGGCTCTTCTCAGGCACCCCTACTTCAGCCGGTAGCTGGTTCTAGAACAATACTGAGTAGGAATTTGCTAGACAGAGAAAGGGAAGAACAAAAACCCAAGTGGGGTCTAGGAGGAGGGAGATCATTTGGGAAGTTCAGAAACTGGAGGTGGTTGAAATGACTAGAGTGAAGCTGCAAGAAGGAAAGCAATAACGGGAGACTGGAGTAGCTGTGGTGTGGCATGAGCCAAAGGGGCTGATTTCATTTATGTATAGAAAGAGGTGCTGGAAGTTTGAGTGGAGGGATGATCAGATTTGTGAAAATGCACTTGTTCTAAGTAGTTAATTAGCATTGTCAGGAGTACAGCTATAAACACTTCAAAAAGATCAAAAACATTTCACATACTTTAATTTGTCCTTTACTAGGAGTGGCAAGAACTACAACAAAGTATACAGCGAAAAGAGAGAGCTCTCCTGGAAACTAAATCAAAGATAACCCATCCTGTGTACAGTCTTTACTTTCCTGAGGTGAGTTGAACACAGGCCTACTGTTTTCCTTCATTCACTTTCCTTCTTTCTTTCTTTCTTTTTTTCTTTCTTTCTTTCTTTCTTTTTTTTTTTTTTTTTTTTTTTTTTGACAGGCAGAGTGGACAGTGAAAGAGAGAGAGACAGAGAGAAAGGTCTTTCTTTTGCCATTGGTTCACCCTCCAATGGTCACTGCGGCCGGCGCATCGCGCTGATCCGAAGGCAGGAGCCAGGTGCTTTTTCCTGGTCTCCCATGCGGGTGCAGGGCCCAAGCACTTGGGCCATCCTCCACTGCACTCCCTGGCCACAGCAGAGAGCTGGCCTGGAAGAGGGGCAACCGGGACAGAATCCGGCGCCCCGACCAGGACTAGAACCCGGTGCGCCGGCGCCGCAAGGCGGAGGATTAGCCTATTGAGCCACGGCGCCGGCCATTCATTCACTTTCTTCTCAGACTTTTCTCATATGACTTTCACCCCTGTGGGATGTATGAGCTCAGAATGTGCTAAATGTGTCTCTTCTAGATAGGCTGCATTTCTAAAGAGTAAATTACAGTGTGAGTAACATTTGGTGAATGTGTTGTTTAAAAGAGAAATTGTTAATAAATTTTAAAGTATTTATTTGGTTCCCTATGCTTATCTTTTCTGTGATTAAAAAAAAAAAACTTTAATTACTCTCTTTAAGGGTACTACACAGGCCACCTAGAGCCACTGGACTTGCTCTGAGCCACAGTATTAGAGCCAGTCTAATACTGTGGAATGGGAGAGCCCATGGCTATGTGACCAGCTGTGTTCTTGGCCCTGAATAAAGTACAGGAAGAGCTGAGCATGACTGAGCCCCAATTATAGCAATTATAGTGCTGCTTGCTCCTTTGTCCTTGTTTACGTCATGGTTGTGGCCTGCTCAACTCTTGATCTTGGTAGCCTGTGTTGTCTTTCAGAGTACTTTGGGATTCTCTTGACATTTTGATTTTGAGGGGATCCTGTGTGTGGAGCAGAGATCAAGAACTGATTACCCCCAGCACGGGAACTCTTCCACAGGCTGCCTCCCAGTTTGCCCCTGAACCCTCTGCTCCCCAGTCATGTCGGGCCAGAGAGTGCATGTATAGATCTGCTTTCTGCTCAAGAGTGTGAATCCAGAGCTGCAGCAGGCCGTTTAAGGCAAATTCCTACATAATTTGGCTCTCCCGGCACTGAGATAGACTTTGCACAGACTTTTGTTTTGACCTGGAGAGAAGTCTGCCCAGGGTTCCATCTCATGCACAGGCTGATCTTCTGTCTTGTCCTGAGCTTGAGCCCATCTGTTAGGGGCATTCTGCCCATTGCGGATGAAGTCTGCCAACACCACACAATCCCAAATCCAGCAGATAAATCCTACTCATTGATTGGCTTTGAAAGTGCCCTGGGATGCTTAAGCTGAATAATTTGTACCCATGTGGTGGTGTTGCATTTTAGACCATGCTTAATTAGTAAATGGAACATTCATTCATTCCCTTAGACCATTTGATTAGTGAAAATGCCTTTTTTCTAATTCATTCTACGTGTGCATAATAAACATTTCAAAGTGTCGTTTGTCACATAACACAAAGCATCTTTTTAACATCTTTCTGTCTTAGATTTTGGTACTTATCTAATGAACCTACTTAGAATTGATAATTAACTTACATATTATCAGAACTATTATGTTTACTATGTTAAGAATTACTGGAAATTTCACATACCAAAAAAACTATTTAAAGTGCAGATAGCTCATGGAACAGCTATTTTCATTTTTAGCGTGTGCATCAGAGTCTAGGCACTGATGTACCATTGATGGATACTCACTAGCTCCTTGTAAATGTTCTTGAGTGAGTATCATTATAATCAAGCTGCCTGGAGAATGGAAGGAAAAGCATTCTGTAAGTGGGGAGGTAAAGAGGAACTGCGCATTCTTGAGCATATCCCTGTGCTTATACTTTATACATGTTGTGATAATGATATTTCTGACAAATGTCAGAATCAATTAAAAGAGATTTATTGTTATACTTCATTTCAGTAATAATCATAACTATCATTTATTGTGCTTAATGTGCCGGGCATTCTAACATGTATTAATAACTCACATTATCTCAGTTCATCTTCACAACATACCCGAGGCAGGCACCCATCATTTACAGACAAGGAAAGTGCTAGAGAGGTGAAAGAACCCAGGTCTGAACAGCTTTAAAACAGCTACTGGCAAAATACATCCTGCTGGTCAAATCTGGCACTCTACCAATTTCTGTGAATGAAGCTTTATTATCAGTAAAGTTTCGTAAGAACATAGCCATGGGATCAGCTGTGTGGCTCAGTGGGTTAAGCTGCCACTTGCAATGCTAGCCCTCCATACATATAAGAGTGCTGGTTCAAGTCTGAGACTTCTCTGATTCCATTCCAGCTTCCTGCAGATATGCCTGGGAAGACCTGCCACCCATATAGGAGACCTAGATGGAATTCCAGGCTACTGGCTTCGGCCTGGCCCAGCCCTGGCAGTTGGGGAATGAATCAGTGGATAGAAGATCTCTCTCCATCTCTTTCTCTCTCTCTCTATCTGTCTCACTATCTCAATCTCTGTCTCTTTTTTCTCTCCTGTCTCTCTCTCTCATCACTCTTCCTTTCACATAAATAAATTTTTTTTAAGATTTATTTTTTATTTATTTGAAAGCTAGAATTACAGAGAGATCAATTGATCTTCCATTCACTGATTCACTCCCCAAATGACTGCAATGGCTGGGACTAGGTCAGGCTGAAGCTAGGAGCTTCTTCCAGGTCTCCCATAGGGGTGCAGGGGCCCAAGCACTTAAGCCGTCTTCTGTTGTTTTCCCAGGAACATTAGCAGGGGGCTGGATCAGAAGTGGAGCCAGCTGGGTCTCAAACCCCAGTGTCTGCGTGGCCAACATTGCAGGCCAAAGCTTAACCTTCAACACCAGCTCCCAAATAAAATAAATATTTAAGAAGAGAAAACAAAACAAACATAGTCACTTACTCTTAATGCTACAGTAGCAGGTTAGTTGCAACAGAAACTCTGGCCCACAAAACTCAGGTTAATTAATACTCTAATTTGAGTCCATTGTATATTTTGTATATGCAAAACATACATAGACAAACATGTATACAAATACCTCTGTCGTGGTAGTCCTAACCTTTGGATTAAACAAAATTCAAATTTCTTGTTCAGTGCTACACACAGCATCATGTACTTATAATTTATTTATTAGGCTTATTCATGTTACAGTGCTTTGTATCAAAAGCTTTCTAGATACTTAATGTATACTTAGTGTGGTATTCAAAAGATAACTGAATTTTAAATCTCATTGAAATAGAAAGTGCTGTGATTTTTGTTTAAAAATTGTAAGACATTTTCCCAATGAAACTGTTTCTATGAAGCTTTTTTAAACTGTTTTAGATAATTCAGAGTTCAGAATAGTCTCATGCTATTTGGTTAAATGAATATTTGGGACATCATAAGAGTTTATTTCTTTATTTTTAAGATTTATTTATTTGTTTGAAAGAGTGACAGAGATCTTTTATCTGTTGATTCACTCCCCAAATGTACATAATAGCCAAGGCTAGCTCAGGCTGAAGGTGGGAGCCTGAAATTCCATCCAGGTTTCCCATGTTTGGTAGCGTGAGTCCAGCTGCTTGTGCCATCTTCCTCTGCTTTCCCAGGTGCACTAGCAGGGAGCTGCATGAGAAGTGGAGCAGTTGGGACTCTATAAGGGATGCTGATATCACACATGGAGGCTTAACCTGCTGCATCTAGCCCCATATACAGTTCACTTTTAGCTCCAAAACATTTTTCCATTTTCAAAAGAAAATCTTCCTTCTGCAGTTCATAAATAGATGATACTGAGCAGATGACTGAACCATTATTGGTATGTGCTTTAATATAACATTGATTGCTGAGATTTGATGCTTCCTGACAGCTTGGTCTTCTCAGATATTTTTTTCTTTAAGATTTACGTATTTATTTGAAAGTCAGAGTTACACACAGAGAGAGAAGGAGAGGCAGAGAGAGAGAGAGAGGTCTTCTTCCATCTGCTGGTTCGCTCCCCAGATGCTGCAACTGCTGGAGCTGGGCCAATCCGAAGCCAGGAGCCAGGAGCTTCTTCCAGGTCTCCCACATGGGTGCAGGGGCCCAGGGACTTGGGCCATCTTCCACTGCTTTCCCAGGCCATAGTGGAGAGCTGGATAGGAAGTGGAGCAGCCGGAACATGAACCAGCACCCATATGGGATGCCAGCACTTCAGACTGTGGCTTTACCCACTATGCCACAGTGCCAGCCCCTCAAAGATTTTTTAAAAATGGTTTTTTGTCTCTTGTTCTGTCATTTATCCCTGCTGTTATTGTGCATTCTGGTAGCAGTTTCTTTACCCAGCCTTTTAATCTTTTTGGAGTTCAACCAGAAATGCCAAACTTACTAAAATGTACATTCAGGGCCATCGCTGTAGTGTAGTAGGTTAAGCATCTGCCTGTGGCTCTGGCATCCCATATAGGTGCTAGTTCGAGTCCTGGCTGCTCCATCAGCTCCCTGCTGATGGCCTGGGAAAGCAGCAGTAGATGATAAAAGTGTGTGGGCCCCTTCACTCTTGTAGGAGACCTGGAAGAAGCTCCTGGCTCCTGGCTTCAGACCATCCCAGTTCTGGCTGTTGCTACCATTTGGGGAGTGAACCAGAAGACGGAAGATTTCTCTCTGTGTCTGCCTCTCTCTGTAACTCTGCCTCTCAAGTAAATAAATAAAATATTTTAAATAAGATTTTTTAAAAAATAATGTACAATGAAAGGTATAATAAAAGGTCTCTTAGAGCCTTTCAAATAAAAATGAAAATAAATGAATAGAAAATTTTTAAGACTCATAGAATATGAGATATTCTGTTAGAGTCATAAGAGTGTTTTAATGTATTGATTATTGACTTGGCTACCCAAATCCCTTCTACTCCTACTTTGTGGCTTTGCTTATTTATTACTAAGTAAGATTACTAACATTATTTGTTACATGATACTTAATATTTTAGAGAGAGCAAGTATGTGCTTATGCACACAAGTGTGACCATTCCCATCCACCAGTTCACTCCCCAAATGACTTCCACAGCTAGGGCAAAAGTCAGGAGCTAGCACCTCAGTCCAGGTTTCCCCATGGGTGGCAGGGACCCAGTTTGTTTAGTTATCACTGCTTACTTCCAGAATCTGCATTAGTAGGAAGTTAGGAGTGGAGCTAGGTGTTGAACCCTTGCACTCAGATATGGGACATGAGCTTCCTAAATGGCGTATTAATTGGTAGGCCAAAAGTCTACCCACTGGAATATTTTTTCTCATTTAAGGTAAATGAAGGTTTTAAGATGGAGGCACATCAGTGGGCTTTAGGTAGGGTTATTGAAACCCCCAAAATTGTGGGCAGAATTATTTTGGGGAATGGACAATAGATTTACAAATGGTTAATAACAGTTTGTTCATTCAGTAAATGTTTATTGAACATCTGTTTTGTACCAGGCACTGTGTCAGTGCTAGGGATGTAACAATGAACAAAATGAACAAAACAAGACGATAATATCTCTGAAAGAAGATAAACCCTTACTGATTCTCTCCAGTTCTTTCTGATTGTTCATATTCTTCTGTTTTATTCTTTCTAGGAAAAACAAGAATGGTGGTGGCTTTATATTGCAGACAGGAAGGAACAGACATTAATATCTATGCCATATCATGTGTGTACACTAAAAGATACAGAAGAGGTAATTATCCAACAACAAAATTTCAGTTTTCAGCAATGTGCAATATCTCACCATCATGCTGCCTTTCTTCCTCCTCCAGAATTTCATTATATTTTATAAAGACTTGGGATTTTTGTCCTCTTTGGATTAATGCTAAGTATTAGACTTTTGTCTTAAAAATAAAAAAAAAACTAGAAATTGATATTGTAGAGTGGAATTTTTTATTTGTGAGTCATTGTTCACTGTTATGATATCACTAAAGTAGCATTGTGATGAACATATTTTATCCCTGGGAAATGCATTATGTTTTCTTCATCTTTTTTTAATGTGCTACCTTCTCTCTCTTTTAAGATTTTTAAGATTTATTAAGATTTATTTACTTATTTGAAAGGCAGAGTTATAGAAAGGGAAAAAGGGTGAGAGACAGACACCTCTTCCATCTACTTCTGTTACTCCCCAGATGACTGCAATGGCCAGGGCTGGGCTAGGTTGAAAATAAGCCTGGAACTCCATCCTAATCTCCCATGTGGGTATCAGGAGCCCAAGCACTCTGACTATCTTCTGCTTTTCCAGGCACATTAGCAGGGAGCTGGATTGGAAGTAGAGCAACTGAGACTTGATCCTGTGCTCATGGGATACCGGCATTATTGGTGGTGGCTTAATCCACTGCATCACAGTGCTGGCCCCTATGTGCTACTTCTTCTGGGAAGACAGTTCCGTCTGCCTGGATTGGTGGACAAGAGCAAGGCTTTTTTTCTTTTTCTAAAAAAAATTTTATTTTATTTTTTTGAGAAGCAGAGACAGTACTCTCATCCACTGGTTTACTCCCCAAATGTCCAAAATGGCCCTTGGCAAGTACTGAAACTCAGCGGTAGGAACTCAGTCCAGGTCCGCCATGTGGGTGGCAGGAACCCAGTCATTTGGGCCATTGTCACTGCCTCCCAGGATCTTCACTGATGCAGGGCAAGGCTCTTGACTTTCGTGATATTTGTATGAGACTGATTTTTGGTTAAAAAAATTTTTTTTAACTTGTATAACCCATTGATAACATGTGAAGTAGCTTAGTGTTTTTTATTTAACACTTCAAGTTAGAGCCAACTTCAGATATTTCTTCAACAGAGCAATTTTTTTATTTACATTTTGCCTGTTTTTTTTTTTTTTTGAGATTTATTTATTTATTTATTTATTTGAAAGTCAGAGTTACACAGAGAGAGAAGGAGAGGCAGAGAGAGAGAGAGGTCTTTCATTCGCTGGTTCAGTCCTCAAATGGCCACAATGGCCAGAGCTGCACCAATCTGAAGCCAGGAGCCAGGAGCATCTTCCCAGTCTCCCATGCAGGTGCAGGGGCCCAAGGACTTGGGCTGTCTTCCACTGCTTTCCCAGGCCGTAGCAGAGAGCTGGATTGTGGAGCAGCTGAGCTCAAACCAGCACACATATGGGATGCCAGCATTATAGGATGCGGCTTAACCCACTACGCCACAGCACCGGCCCCTTACCTGTTTTAAAAACAATGCATTCACCTAAAAATTTTAGAGCGTGTAGAAGTACATACAGTGAGACATCTTACATCCCTGGGTCCTAGTCACCTTTCCTCTTTGTGGAGATTGCCAATGTTGTTGTCAGATTTTTATGTATCCTTCATGTGATATTGTATATAAATTGCAAGTAAATATACGTGATTCTATCCCAGTGTAATCAAACAATAGCACACATTCTGTCTTCCATCTTACCTTTTCTTTCACCTGCATAATCTGGACATGTATCTCCAAAGAGCAAAGACCTTTTTCTTCATAAGCACAGTACCATTGTTGTCCTCAGGAAATTTAACACTGATATGGTATTATTGTTCAATATTCAAATTTCCTCAGATATTCCACAAATGTTTATTTTATTTTTTTATTTTTATTTTTATTTTTTGACAGAGTGGGCAGTGAGAGAGAGAGACAGAGAGAAAGGTCTCCCTTTGCCGTTGGTTCACCCTCCAATGGCCGCTGTGGCCGGCATGCTGCGGCCGGCGCGCTGTGGCCGGTGCACTGCGCCTATCCGAAGGCCGGAGCCAGGTGCTTATTCTGGTCTCCCATGGGGTGCAGGGCCCAAGCACTTGGGCCATCCTCTACTGCACTCCCTGGCCACAGCAGAGAGCTGGCCTGGAAGAGGGGCAACCGGGACAGAATCCGGTGCCCCGACCGGGACTAGAACCTGGTGTGCAGGCGCCGCAAGGTGGAGGATTAGCCTACTGAGCCGCAGCACCGGCCTCCACGAATGTTTATTACAGTGTTTTGATTTTTAATTCAGAATCCATTGTGGATAGCACTTTTTATTTGGTTGTCATGCCACTTTAGAACACTTCTTGTCCTTTCTTTTTTTTTTAATGAAGGAATCAGATCTTTTAACTATTGTACTTATTTTTACTTTATTTAAAAGAGAAATAGAGAAGGAGAGACAGCTCCCATCCACTGGTTTAATCTCCAAATGCTTACAACGGCCAGGAGTTGGCCAGACTGCAGCCAGGAGACCTGAACTCAATCCAGGTCTCCCATATGGGTGACAGAGACCCAAGTACTTGGGCCATTACTTAGTGTCTTCTAGGGTGCATGAGCAGGAAGCTGAAGTGGAATTGGAGGAGCCAGGATTCAGACCAGGCACTCTGCTGTGGGATGTGGGTGTTCTACACAGAGAGTTAATCACTATGCCATATGCTTGGCCTACTTGATCTTTTATTTTTCAAATTTTATTTAGTTGAGAGGTAGAGAGACAGAAAGAAAGCTCCCATCTGCTGGTTTACTTCCCAAATACCTGAAACATCCAGGCCTGGATCAGGCCAAAGCCAGGAGCCAACAATTCAATTTGGATCTCCCATGTGGGTAGCAGGAACACAAGTGGTGGCAGCCATCACCTGCCACCTCCCAGGGTGCACATTACCAGGAAGCTGGAATCTGAAGAGGATCCCAGACTTGAGCCCAGGCACTCTGATGGGGAGTGCAAGCATCCCAACCAGCATCTTAACTACTAGGCCTTACACCTGCTCCTCTTTTTTCCTTTCATGATACTGACAGTTTTAAGAGACTAGTGATATTTTGTAAAATATAAATTTGTCTTCTTGCTTACTCATTGTTGAATTCATGTTGGCAAGCATACTACATTGGTGATGCATTTCTTAGACAGTGTCAGTTTGCCCCACATTGGTGATACCACAGTTAGTCATTTAGTTAAGGCTTTTCTCTATTGTAAAGGTGTTTCTGCCTCTAATCCATGGGATGATGTTTGGGTCCTGTGTGAACATGCTGTTCTCCAGCAGTCTTTAATACACTCATTTTGACACACTTTGATGATTCTTGTCTAGATCAGTATTTACTCTGCCCATTATATTCAGTGTAGTTTTGTTTTCTGTTTCCTGTTGGAGCAAAACTGAATAGGCTTTGTGTGTTTGAGTCTTAATTCTTATGTGGTGTGGGTGGGAGAATGTATGTAACCATTGTTTATTTTTGTTGGTCTTTTTTATTGTTTTGCAGATTTAGTTTTTAAATGTTAGGTAATTGGCTCATACATTTTTTGATACGATAACATATTACAAAAAATACTTAAGGAGATGGAAATGCTAACCTGATTTTATCATCATACATTTAATGCATGTATTAAAGTATCACTGTATCATAAATATGTACAATTTATAATAATAGGGAAAAAAGAAACTTATATTTTAATTTAAAAAAATACGCATCCAAAGATGATCAGTTTATGGTATGTTGTAAATATTTCCCCTCAGTTTCTGTTTTTACTATTATGTATTTATTTATCAAATAGAAATATAAACATTCATAATATGTTTTCATTTTCTTATGAAGTCTTCAAAAAGTTCATGTAAGATGCATATTAGGAAAGAATTATGTATAAATTTCAAAATCTATTATACCAGTTAGCTTTTGGTTCCATTTTTCCATGAACGTTTTTGAAGTACCCTAATATTTGTTGTATGTGGTTTATTTTTTTAATGTCTTTGTTTTTGTTTTTGTTTTTGTTTTTGTTTTTTTAAGTTTTATTTATTTGAAAGACAGAGTTACAGAGAGAAGTAAAGCCAGAGAGGTTCTTCCATCTGCTGGTTCACTCCCCAAATGACCGCAACAGCCAGAGCTGAGCTAATCTGACCCAGAGGCCTGGTATCCCACGTGGGTGCAGGGGCCCAAGCACTTGGGCCATCTTCTAACTGCTTTCCCAGGCCACAGCAGAGAGCTGGATCAGAAGAGGAAAGCCGAGACACGAACCAGCGCCCATGTGGGATGCTGGCACTGCAAGCTGGGGTTTTAACCTGCTGTGTCACAGTGCCAGCCCCTGTATGTAGTTTAGAAAAAGCATTTTTTTTTTAATATTTATTTATTTATTTGAAAGTCAGAGTTACACAGAGAAAGGAGAGGCAGAGAGAGAGAGAGAGGTGTCTTCCATCTGATGGTTCACTCCCCAGTTGGCCGCAACAGCCGGAGCTGCACTGATCTGAAGCCAGGAGCCAGGAGCTCACATGTTTATACACATAAAATGAGGTTAATAAAGGTTTCCTAGGATTTTTTTTTTTAAGATTTAATTTATTTGAAAGTCAGAGTTACACAGAGAGAGAAGGAGAGGCAGAGAGCAAGAGGTTTTTCATCTGTTGGTTCACTCCCCAATTGGCCGTAAAGGCTGGAGCTGCGCCGAACTGAAGCCAAGAGCCAGGAGCTTCCTCTGGGTCTCCCACATGGGTGCAGGGGCCCAAGGACTTAGGCCATCTTCTACTGCTTTTCCAGGCCATAGCAGAGAGCTGGATCGGAAGAGGAGCAGCGAGGACTAGAACTGGCTCCCATATGGGATGCCGGCGCTTTAGGCCAGGGCGTTAACCTGCTGTGCCACAGCGCCTGCCCCAGAAAAAGCATTTTTTAAATATTTATTTACTTACTTCTTACTTGAAAGCCGACTGACAGAGAATGAGAGAGAGATCTTTTATCTACTGGTTCACTCCCCAAATTCCTACAATAGCCAGGGCTGAGGCAGGCTAAAGCCAGGAGTCCAGAACTCTATTTGGTTCTCCCACATAGGTGGCAGGAACCTCAGTATTTGGACCATCATCTTCTGCCTCCCAGCAAGTTAACTGGAAATTAGGTTGGAAGTGGAGGTGGGGTGTGGTTCCAAGCACTCTGGAATAGGCTGGTGTTGAAAGCTACAGATGCCCACTGCAGGAAAACTTTTTTTTTTTTTTTTTGACAGAGTTAGAGACAGAGAGAAAGGTCTTCCTTTTTCCGTTGGTTCACCCCCCAAATGGCCACTCGGCTGGCGCACTGCGCCGATCCGAAGCCAGGAGCCAGGTGCTTCCTCTTGGTCTCCCATGAGGGTGCAGGGACCCAAGCACTTGGGCCATCCTCCACTGCCTTCCCAGGCCACGGTAGAGAGCTGGACTGGAAGAGGAGTAACCAGGACTAGAACCCCGGGTGCTGGCACCACAGGTGGAGGATTAGCCAAGTGAGCCGTGGTACCAGCTGATAACTTTTTATACATTTTACATTTGTGTTATAATTAGAAAGGCCAAGCTGAAATTAATTTTTTTAAGAAAAAGATTTCTCTGGGTCCGGCGCTGTGGCGTAGCAGGTAGAGCCACTGCCTGCAGTGCCGGCATCCCATATGGGCACCAGTTTGAGTTCTGGCTGCTCCACCTTCGATCTAGCTCTCTTGCTGTGGCCTGGGAAAGCAGTAGAAGGTGGCACAAGGCCTTGGGCCCCTGTACCTGCGTGGGAGACTGAGAAGATGCTCCTGGCTTCAGATCAGCACAGCTCTGGCCATTGTGGCTATTTGGGGAGTGAACCAACCGATGGAAGACCTCTCTCTCTCTCTCTCTCTCTCTCTCTCTCTCTCTGCTTCTCCTTCTCTCTGTGTAGCTCTGACTTTCAAATAAATAAATAAATCTTTAGAAAAAGTTCTCATGACTTTTTCTATTTTTATGGGATAATTTTAATGTATAATCTGAGCTACAAAAATTTGTCATTTGGAGATGAGAGGCAGATCACCAGAGGATCCAAGTGTCATTTTTAAAAATGTAGTCTTTCTTCATCCAAGTAGAGTCAAAACTTTTGTTCCCCCAGATTTATTTATATTTTTCCCCCCAAAGATGGATTGATTTACTTAACAGGCCGATTGGCAGAGGGAGGGGGAGGGGAAAGGAAGAGAGAAAGAGAGAGAGAGAAAGAAAGAAAGATCTGTTTACTGGTTCAGTCCCCAAATGGTTGCAATGGCCATGTCTGGGCTAGGCCAAAGACAGGAGCCTGGAATTCCATCTTGGTCTCTCATGCGGGTGGCAGGGGCCCAAGTGCTTGGGCCATCATCTGCTGCTTTCCGGGGTGCAATAGCAGGAAACTGGATTAGAAGCCACGTGGCTGAATTGGAACCAGGAATCCAATATAGGATGCTGGTGTTGGAGATGGTGGCTTAAACTCACTATAGCTCAATTCTGGTTCAAAATCAAAAAACTTTTAAGAGATTTTTACTCTTTGAATTTGGAGTTTATGATTTGATAGTAAACAAACTTTCTTGACCTTTTAAGGCACTAACCATTTATCATAGAAATAAGGAAATTTCCTAAGAATATTCTACCTCCTAATGAAGTCTATGATAAAACGCGACCCATCGCGCAGCATACGGGATGCTCCCACATGTTACGATAGTTTTCAGTGGTCGTTGTGGTCGTGGTGGTGGTGGTGGTAGGACTTTGGTAACATTTGTTAGGGCTTCCTGTATTATCTGAGTAAGCTTTGGCTACTAAATACTAGGCAATATTTAGTGTCAGTAATCTAAGAATTTTAAGAGTGAACTTTTGTTTCCTCTTCCAAATACAGATTTTTAAGCACTGATTTTTATCTTTTAGGTAGAACTGAAGTTTCCTGCACCTGGCAAGCCTGGAAATTATCAATATACAGTGTTTCTGAGATCAGATTCCTATATGGGTTTGGATCAGATTAAACCATTGAAGGTAAGAGTAGTGATTCTTTGATAAATTGTTTGTTTAAGTGTTTAATATACTAGGGAAGCATTTGAGGTTTGGAAATAGAGTAATGGAATGGGTCATCTTGTTCTCTTTCAATAATAAACTTAAGTTGTTGCTTGATTATAAAGAAGGAGTTGGGAGGGACTTCAAAGGTTTATGGAAAGTGGAATTAAATAATAAAAATTAAAAACAGGAATTTTATTTCCTCAACATAAGCACCATTAAGTTCAAGACACTTTTGTTAAGCGTTGGTGTCTGCCATTTAGTCCATCCCTACAGAACTGAGGGTCCTGATGTCTTAACCATAACATTATCAGCTTTCTTACATTATTAACTGAAGAAAAATGGGTGCCTTTTAAAGATTTCTTTTTTTAACGATTTATTTATTTGAAAGGCAGAGTTAGAGAGAGATATCTTCCATCTTCTGGTTCACTTGCTCCCCACATGGCTGCAATGGCTGGTACAGGCCAGGCCAAAGCTGGGAGACAAGAGCTTTTTCTGGGTATCCCATATGAGTGGACCATCTGCTGCTTTCCCAGGTGCGTTAGCATGACGCTGGATCAGAAGTAGAGCAGCTGTAGCTTGAGCCAGTTCCTATATGAGATGCTGGCTTTGCAGGTGGCAGCAATATTCTGCAACAGAATACCAACCCCTGAAGATGTTTTTTTTGAATTAGGAAACAAAAAGAAGTCATAAATAGCCAAATCAGTACTATAAGGTTTCTGCCTAATGATTGATTTCCATCAAAAATTGTCCTTTGGATGAGAGAAATGAGCCAGGAGCATTGTCATGGTGGAGAAGAACTCTGGTGACTGGATGCTTTTCTGCTGAATGTTTCTTTTCTTTTCTTTTCTTTTCTTTTTTTTTTTTTTTTTTTTTGGACAGGCAGAGTGGATAGTGAGAGAGAGAGACAGAGAGAAAGGTCTTCCTTTTGCCGTTGGTTCACCCTCCAATGGCCGCCGCGGCTGGCGTGCTGCAGCCGGCGCACCGCGCTGATCCGAAGCCAGGAGCCAGGTGCCTCTCATGGTCTCCCATGGGGTGCAGGGCCCAAGCACTTGGGCCATCCTCCACTGCACTCCGTGGCCACAGCAGAGAGCTGGCCTGGAAGAGGGGCAACCGGGAAAGAATCCGGCGCTCCGACCGGGACTAGAACCCCGTGTGCCGGCGCCGCTAGGTGGAGGATTAGCCTATTGAGCTGCGGCGCCGGCCTGAATGTTTCTCAAAACACTCATGATTTGTTATTCTTTGGCCCCCTGGAAAGTCAACAAGCAAAATGTCTTGAGTAGTCCAAAAAACTATTGCCATGACCTCTGTCCTTGACTTGACCTGGACTTGCGTTAACTGGACCACTTTCACTTCTTGGTAACCGTTGCTTTGATTGTTCTTTCTTTTCAGCGTTGTAGTTGTAAAGGCAGGCTTCATCTCTTGATAAATTCTTTGAAGAAATATTTCAGGATCTTGATTTTCACTGCCCTTACTTGTGGCTGATCTATGTGTCACAGTTTTGACCTCCATAGAACAGAAAGTTTGCTGTACTTTAATTTTTTTGTCAGAATTGTATAAGTGGAACCACTTGACACATCTATGGTGTTGGCCATTTGCTTGTGCTGTTAATTGTACTTTTCATGTTCAGTTGGGGCACAAACAAGATTAATTTTTTCCTTGCAAATTGATGTGGATGGTCTGCTGCTGTGGGCCTCATCTTCAACATTCTTTTTTTTTTTTTTTAAAGATTTTATTTGAGAGCTAGAGTTACAGACAGTGAGGGGGAGAGACAAAAAGGTCTTCCTTCCATTGGTTCACTCCCCAAATGGCTGCAACAGCCGGAGCCACACCGATCCAAAGCCAGGAGCCAGGTGCTTCTTCCCGGTCTCCCATGCGGGTGCAGGGGCTTAAGGACCTGGGCCATCTTCTATTGCTTTCCCAGGTCATAGCACAGAGCTGGATTGAAAGTGGAGCAGCCGGTACTGGAACTAGCGTCCATATGGGATGCCGGCGCCACAGGCAGAGGATTAACGTGATGCCAGTGCCGCAGGCAGAGGATTAACATACTGTGCCCACTGCACTGTCCCCTAGTCCCTTCTTAAAACCAGTTACTCACTTGTAAACTGCTCCTTTATTTGGGGTATTGTCCCCATAAACTTTGTAAAGCATCAGTGATTTCACCATTCTCCTACCCAAACTTGACCATACATTTTACATTTACTTTTGCTTCAGTTTTAGTAGAATTCATGTTGTTTTGGTAGGGCTGCTAGACAAATGGTGTCTTTTCCTTCTTGGTTCCTCAAACTAGATTCTGTTCAAACATTTTTTAAAAAATCAGTATAAATTTATGAAATATGCATTTTCTTTTTATTTTTTTCAAGATTTATTTGTTTGAAAGGCAGAGTTAGAGGGAGACAAAGAAAGATCTGCCATCCATCTCTTCCACATGGGCAGCAGCGGCCCAAGAACTTGAACCATGTTCCACTGCTTTCCCAGCTGCCTTGGCAGGGAGCTGTATTGGAAGTGAGACAGCTGGGACTTGAGCCCCGGTGCCTATGTGGACTGCTGGTATCTCGGGTGGTGGCTTAATCCACTGTGCCACGATGCCGGCCCCCTAGTACACATTTTTTTCTGTGAATCTTTTGACAACTCCCCTCATATAATAAATTAGATTACTTTATCATTACATTTTAAATGTGCTGTAATATGCTATAACTACAGCACCTCAGCAGATAAGTTCTGTTTTTTTGTTTTGCTTTTTTTTTTTAATAAAATATATATTTATTCATTTATTTGAAAGGCAGAGAGAGAAAGATGGATCTTCTGTCCACTGGTTCACTACCCAAATGGCTACAGTGGCCATGGCTGGGCCAAGCTGAAGCTTGGAGCCAGCCAGAAACTCCATCTTGGTCTCCTGCATGGGTGTCAGGAACCCACATAGTTGGGCCATCTTACTCTGCTTTCTCAGGTGCATTAGCAGGGAGCTGGCTGGATCTGAAGCAGAGCAGTTGGGAATTGAACTGGTGCTCACATGGCATGCCAGTGTCACAGGTAGCAGCTTAGCCCTGCCACACCACAAGCCAGCCCCAAAATCATAGGTATTTTACCACAGATTCTGTTGTAATTATTAGTTTCTGAAACTAATTTTTTTAAAAAGATATATTTATTTCAAAGGCAGAGAGGCAGGAGGAGAGTTTTTTGTTTTGTTTTTTAAGATTTATTTATTTATTTGAAAGGCACAGACAGAGGCAGAAAGAAAGGTGGGGGGGTGTTGCGGTGTTGGGTCTTCCATCTGCTGATTCACTCCCTAGTTGGCCACAACAGCCAGAGCTGGGCTGGTCTGGAGCTGGGCTGGTCCAGAGCCAGGAGCCAGAAGCTTCTTCTTGGTCTCCCACGTGAGTGCAGGGGCCCAAGCACTTGGGCCATTTTCTGCTTTCCCAGGCCATAGCAGAGAGCTGGATCAGAAGTGGAGCAGCTGGGATTCAAGCAGGTGCCCATATTGGCTGCCAGCACTCTAGGCAGCGGCTTTACCCACAATGCCACAGTGCCTTGCCCCAAGAGAGATCTGCCATCTGCGAGTTTACTCCCCAAATGGCTGCAGTAGCTGGAGCTGGGCCTAGCTGAAGCCAGGAGTTTCATCTGGGATTCCTATATGGGTACAGGGGCCCAAGCACGTGGGCCATCTGCTCTGCTTTCTCAGGTACATTAACAGGGAGCTGGATCAGAAGTTAGCAGCCAGGACTCAAACCAGTGCTTCTATATGGTATTTCAGCATTGCAGGCAGTGGCTAAACCCATTGTACCACAACGAAGATTTATTTATTTATTTTGAAAGAGTTAGAGAAAGGGGGAGACAGAGATCTTCCATCCACCGTTTCACTCCCCAGATGGCTACAATGGCTAGGGCTGGGCTTGGCTGAACCCAGAAGCCAGGACCTTTATCCAGGACTCCCACTTGGGTGGCAGTGGCCCCAACACTTGGGTCATCCTCTGCTGCTTTTCCCAGGCCGTTAGCAGGAAGCTGGATCAGAAACATAGCAGGGCCGACGCCGTGGCTCACTTGGCTAATCCTCTACCTGCAGCGCTGGCACCCCGGGTTCTAGTCCCAGCTGGGGCGCCGGGTACTAGTCCTGGTTGCTCCTCTTCCAGTCCAGCACTCTGCTGTGGCCCAGGAGGGCAGTGGAGGATGGCCCAAGTGCTTGGGTCCCTGCACCAGCATGGGAGACCAGGAGGAAGTACCCAGCTCCTGGCTTTGGATCAGTGCAGCTCTGGCAGTAGCAGCCATTAGGGGAGTGAACCAATGGAAGGAAGACCTTTCTCTCTGTCTCTCTCTCTCACTGTCTATAACTCTCTCTCTGTCTCTCTGTCTCTCTCTCTCACTGTCTAACTCTGCCTGACAACAACAACAACAACAACAACAACAACATAGCAATCTGGACACAAACTGACACCCGTATGAGATGCTGTTGTCCCAGGTGGTGACTTTACCTGCTATGCCAAACCAGCCCTGGCTACAGAATTTTACTTACTAATCTGAAGGCTGCAAATGTGTGAAAATCACATGAGTTTTTCTTCTTTAGCAGAAAACTTCTATTAAGATATTGCTTAGCATTCTTACCCTGAAATTACAATTATTAATCTTTTGTGCCACAGAAATCGTTTCGAAAATAGTATAATTTGTATAAAATTAAAATACCAAACTGTGTTAGAAATTTTTTTTCCAGTGTTAAAAATTGAAGTATATTTACATGTTAGTAAATTTAGGGATGAAATATCTATTCTAAATAAATGTGTTAAATTTATTTATATCCCTGGAAATCTATTTATTTGTGATTGCTATAATCAAAGAAAAGCTTTTTTTAACCAGAATTTCTTCTCTTATTCTTCCACAAATTTCTGACATGTGCATTTAATTCTTTATAGTTGGAAGTTCATGAGGCTAAGCCTGTGCCAGAAAATCATCCGCAGTGGGATACAGCAATAGAGGGAGATGAAGACCAGGAGGACAGCGAGGGCTTTGAAGATAGCTTTGAGGAAGAAGAGGAAGAAGAGGAAGATGATGACTAAGCAGTGCTATGAATGGACCACAGCGTTCGCATATACTTGCAAAGTTTTTGCTGTTTTGAAAGTGTATAATAAACCAGAAGCAGTGCAGAACTGACGTCGAGGGAGCGTTATTTTCTTTACTGGAGATGGGTGCATAAAATAACTAGGCAGTTGGTGATGCCCTTGTACAATCTGAGAAAAGCTGAAGGTTTATTAAAGCCTTTCCAATCTGGGATGGTGCATTTACTACATCTGCAAATGATAATAAATCCTCGGTTATTGTGACTGTCCAGAAGTGTGGGCTGTGTATTATCTGATCAGTTTATGGTCCCAGTAAAAGTAAAGGTACATGAAAAACAATCTATAAATGAGCAACTTTCATTTGTTCAGCTTTAGTTTTAGTAAACAAAGCGTGATAAACAACACAAGTATGTTTTAAGTAACATCTCGAGTTTTTAATCTCTTGATAAGCTCTGTTCCTTTATTGACATTCTACAGGTGATAAGACTGTTTATAACAGCTCCATACATAGCTTTAAATCTTTTATTTTCACCTATCTGGGTTGCAAGTTGGCATTCTCTCACATTCCACATACTACAGAGGGCTACATTGAGGGTTTTTCCTTTTCTTAATTGCCAGAGTTAACAGACAGATGATGAAAATGGTTTAAAAACATTTTAAAATCTCTGTCTTCGCAGATCAGTGCAGGATCTAATTATTTTGATACGCTGTCAGTCTGAAAGTGCTGTGGGACCATATGTTCTCTGATGTTGGTGGCTTATGTAAAAGGTTTACTATAAAAGCTGAACTACATTCTTGGCTTTTAATCTACCTATCAGAAGCCTTTTAAGGGAAAAAATATAACATGCAAAGGAGGCATTTTTTGTATTCATTTTGGACTCCTGTCAATAAAATAGAAGTTTGACTCGTTTTATGTTTGTAATGGTGTGTGTCTTTATTCTCAGAGAAAGGACATAACTACAGTAATCCGTTCTTCTGTTTTTCAACTAAAAATTGAGTAATATTGCACATTGCTGCTGAAGCAACTACTGTTTCTGTATGCTGTAGGAAAACCTACGAATGAGGCGTTCCCCTCCTGCAGTACACGCAGCATAGTGTGTACATGGCGTATCGCCCAGGCACAATGAGTGTTTTCACCACCAGACCTGGAGGGAGCCCAAGCCCGGAGTACGACACGGGCCAGATTGTAAGCATCCTCTGCTCTGAAGCCTCCACAGGCCAAGGCCCTGTCAGAGTATTAGCATGTCTCTTGTTTACCTCTTTTACATCAGAGCTTGCTACTTGCCATGCACAGTCACCACTGGTATTCTGTTACTGCAGTCTTTGGAAATAAAATTTGAAAATTACCAAAACAACAACAACAACCCACAAATGGCTCTTTTGGGTCTAAATTTGATGGTCAAGGATGTGTTTCCTTTGGAACTTTGATCACCAGTTGGGAGAGACCCTTCATGGACTGGCAGGACTGTAAAATCATTTGAGACGGTCACTTTTCAAATCAGGTTTTACAGTGAGGCTCCAGTGTCTTGAAGCAGCTGCTGGTCCTCCAGGCGTGGTGACAGGGAGTGAGCCTGTGTGTGCAGGGAGAGGAGAGCCAGGGGAAGCGCCTTGTGGCCTCCCCCAGGAAGGGGAGCAGATAGAACAACAGAGTGAGCGCTTTTTCTGGTTCCCTTGAAGATACTTTCTACAGGAGGTTTCTTTTCTAGTGGCTCTTTTGCCTTAACGAGGCTCCACAAAGTTCTTCCTGGTTTTAAGACTCTGGAGAGGACAGTTTCATAACTAGTATCTGCAGGGTGCTGAAGGCAGTGGTGAGGGCCACCAGTCGGCTCCCTTTCCCCACCACGTGGCGCTGCTCTCCCGACTGCCTTGGGTGGGAGTCAGGCTGGGCTTTGCGCTGCGGGATCTCCCCCAGCAGCCCGATGCACTCCACGTCCTCATACATAACTTGCCTTGCTCTGCATTTAACCTGGTGGAAACTTACCAAGTCAAGTTTCATTGCTCTGACAAAATGGTGACTGTTTTGTCAGCACAATAGGTGGGCATGTGGATAGAAAGACACACAGTATGTGAAGTGAGGTGGGTTCTTTCATGAAAGTTATTTAAACTAAATTTTTACCTCTTAAAATTGAGAAAGTACCTATGAAGATAGAGCCTTCTCCAAGGAGCCTTGAAAAGCCATCTAGGGCCCTGTGGTGGTTTCCGTGTGCCTATCAATCTTAAAAGTTAAGCAGATGCTTGTTAGCCCTTTTCCATTTTGTCTTAGAGTTTTGTGACTATTTTAAAGAATTGAGCACACTGACTAAGCTGTCTACAGACTCTGCAGAGCCATAGCTTGTGCCCGGTTCACCCCTTGCCCTGGGGGTGGGGAAGGCGGAGCTGGCCAGCCTCACTGGCCCCTGCAGGAGGGCCCAAGGCCAGCACTGGAGTGGAAGGAGGCGCTGGGAGCCCACTGCTCCTGACTACAACATTCCCTCAGTACTTGCTTCAGCCGATCAAAGCCATATTCTGGACTGTTCTTCAGTGACAGTTCCTGGGTCATTGTGACTCAGCACCTTCCGTCCTTTCTGAGAGGTTGCCCATTAACTGCTGTGCGCCTGACTTGGGGTGGGATACTGGGGCTGTAAAAATCAAAAAGTTTGAGTTCAGAACTCTGGGATTGAGCCAGGCACGTGTGGCAGTCCGTGTTTATCCGTTTGCCTTGGCTAGTAGCCATTGTTTGGAATGCCTTTATTTTTTTTAAATGTCTTTCCACTGTAGGTAGAGGAAAGGTTAGGGGCTAGCTATTTAAGTTTTGACTTTTTAAAAATACACTAATTCCCATCCTTTGTTTTTAAAGGCTTGTTTAAAGCATTCTCCCTCCCTCTGACTCAGCTCCATGAAATCCCCTATTTAGTCTGCCTTAAAGTAGAACAGTGAGCTGTACTGGGACATTTTACCAGCTCTGGGATGGTCAGTCCAGCTGTGTCTCAAGAAGTTAGCACCAAGCCTCTTCACACATCTAAACCTAAAGCTAGGGCTATTTTGCAAAACCTAAAAATGAAAAACAAATGTGATCTTGTACATTTTTCTGTAACCTGAGCTAAGAACCCAAATAACATCAATCATTGTTATGCTTTAGGGCTGTGGTTTCAAGTGGGGGTGTGTACATCCCAGGAGTATACAGATGACCGGTCCATTGAGAAATGTTAAAAGTGATTATTTGTATTTAATCTTCATCCTTTTAAATTTCTATTTTTGTGTGTTTTATAATGTACATAATATATTGTACAATTGTACACTTCTGTAATTTATAAATAAATAATACATTTATTGGTGCATTAGATATATTTTTTTCTGATTCGGGTGCGTGATCAAAAGGTGGACCTCACTGCTTTGTGGTAGTGACCAGGGGTGATGCCCTGGGGCTGAGGAGTAGGCAGCCGCATTGTGACCTGGAGCCCAGGAGGCTTGGTGGGGGAGGGGTCCAAGCAGAGGTGGCCTGTGGAACGGAAGTGGGGCAGAAGTACTGAGGGAGGCAGAGGCTCTGTTCCTGGTCCCTGCAAATTAAGGAGGTGGGTGTGGCAGCACGAGGATGTTCAGTTGGACAGATGTGTAAACAGCTGGACTAGTTCCCTGTCGTTTCCAGCTTGGTTCCAGTAGAGGGCGATAGGGCTATAGTTTTCTGTAACAGGGCTTTCTGTGGAACTGAGAACCAGGGTTAAAGCAATGCCTCGCAATTTGTTTCCATCTGCACCTTTGCATATCCTCTTAAGCTATGTCTTGCCTTACCTACACTCTTTAATACATCAATTCACGTGTAGGTTTTCTGGCTGGAAGCACTAAGCCCCTGTGCAGCAGGCTCCAGGGCTGATTCACGGTGCCAGAATTCTAGATTGTGTACTGGACAGGCGGGTGGCTGGGTAGGACACAGACTGTTTTTTTCCTCTATACAATTTAAAGTTCTTGCTTGGTGGTTGGTGGCAGCATGGAGGGGTGTGAGATTTTCGCTGCACATGCGTGTTAACACCTGCACGGTGTCAGGTCAGCGGCACAGCGTGTCCTCGCCTGCTCCTCCTGTCCCTCGAGTTCCATCAGGCTCAGAGCATGGTTGAAACTGAATCTGTGGAAGGGTGTGCAGGCCAGCCTGTGCGATCTGTGTTATCCGAGGGGCCAACAGCTCGTGCTCTTCCTGGGAGGGGCTGCCCTGTCTCCCAAGGGGTTTGCCATACAAGCATCCTTGCAGTCTGGGCCAGAAGCAGGTGGGCCTCTGGGTGCGGGGGTGCAGAGAAGGGCAAGACTTGTGGAAAGTCAGGCTTCAATACACACAGGGCCTCTTCCAAAGAGGCCCATAATGCTTCTAAGGGAATGAGTTGTATTTAGTGAAAATGAGGACAAATGAGGACCTCGTCCTTGAGAAGAATGTGTGCTTGCAAATGGCACCAAAGTCATCAGAGGTGGCTTTGCGGGGGTGGAGGTTTGGGCCTGAGGTGAAGACACTAGTTAGGATGCCTGCGTCTCCCAGGAGAGAGCCTGGGCTCAAGGACCTGCTCCTGCTCCTGACCCCAACTTCCTACTGTCCCAGTCCCTGGGAGACAGTGGCGATGGCTTGGGTATTTGGGTTCCTGCCGTCCAGTGGGACCTGGATTGAATTCCTGCCTCCTGCTTTGTGCTCCCACCCCGCCACTGTTGTGGGCATTTGAAGAGTGAACTAGAAGGTCAGAGAATTCTGTCTCTGCTTTGTAAATAATTTTTTTAAAAGATTTATTTATTTATTTATTTGAAAGAGTTACAGAGAGAGGTAGAGACAAGGAGAGATCTTCCATCCACTGGTTCACTCCCCAAATGGCCATAATGGCCAGAGTTGAGCTGGTCTGAAGCCAGGAGCCAGGAGCTTCCTCTGGGTCTCCCATGTGGGTACAAGGGCCCAAATGCTTGGGCCATCTTCCACTGCTTTCCCAGGCACATTAGCAGGGAACTGGATTGGAAGTGGAACAGCCAGGGTTCAAACGCACCCATATGGG